AACAGAGGGCAACTCTGCTCGTCGCCATCATAAAACACATCTAATCAGAAATGCCATAATCAGACTTCACATTTTTTACTGCCGAAGCGGTCTTTTTGGATTGTGAATATTTTTTCTGTTGTATTGCTGACCCTTGCTTTTTTTTATCACCGTTCACATTTTTGTACATAGGCTGATGAAAATGTCTTAAGAATGTTATCCCAGTGTAAACATCCTCACAGTGATTGTGAAGTCTGGTCCCACTTTCATGCCAAGCCAAACTGATGCCCTCAAAGTGGTTTGGCTGTATGCCCAGCTGTTGCTTCATGAGGCTTTTTGAAGGATTTGTGAAGTGTTGTTTTGTACAAATTATTTGGAAAGAGGTACAACCTGTTAACCCATCGGCTTTGTCCACCTTTTAGGTCGCCACCTCTTCTGTAACGTTGGAATGATTACAGACGTCGCACAATAATCTGCAATACCGGTTGGTCCGAGCCATGTAATACTGCAGCAGATTTAATGGGCAATTAATTAAACTTACGAAGTTTGATTTAACCTGACGGAGACCGTCCTATGTATGCATGTTGAACTTCTTTCGCACCGTGCGAAGTCACTACTTTGCGGCGGTTAACGGATGCTCCCAGGTTGAACCAAAATGAAACTCGTGTCAATGAAATCGCTCTCCTTTGGTTGAGTGATGCAACAGGAGAAGAGGCCGGCTCCTCCTGGGTTGGCTGAGCGGCCTCCACTGTCGAACCGAATCCATTTGTGCCGGGCATCATCCACCTCATACGAAACCAGTGACAAGTCCCCTTGCAATCTCTGAATTTGAAGGTATTTTCGTAGTTTCACATTTGTTGAGAAAATCGAGGCTTTATGCATGTCACTTATATTATTGATACATTTTTACTTTGGTTGTCAATTTGCTAAATGCAATATACAGTAATTACAGAACAACTTCAAGTCTATTTCTGGAAGATGTTTTTCATTCGGACAACACTAATGATTTATTCCTATAATATAATCGTAGCTTCACATTATGTGGCTATGTGGTCCAACTTGGTTGTTTTGTAATGAGGATTACGAGGTACGCTCTCACGCTGTGTTGGCATTTCACAAACTGCTTTGCAAAGGCCAGCAGCGTACGATTGAGAGCGACACGATAATCTTCACACGCGACATGGAAATAAAACAAAACTCAGAAATAGATTATTTTTACGACGACGTCATGTTATACACACGAGGTTTTTAGGTCATTTTCACATGGGTGTTGATGGAAAGTAAGTCACGCGTGTTTCACGTTGCCTCATGTGATTGATTATTGCCGAGAAGCAACGCTTCCATGCGGTTTGTGGGCTCGGCCTGCTCGCTGTAGAAGTGTTACACATGTGTGACGTAAAGAGGCAGATGGTGGTTTCCCTCCAACCATTGGAGTTCTGCTGCCAGGCGGGCCACGTGTTGTCATCGGCGTGGTGGTTGTGCTGTGAACGACACTTTGAGAACTATTGTATCCCGTGCTGTCTACTTGACGTTTTCCTCTGCGCTTCTTTTGCCCAAAATGTTTGGTTGGAGAAAAAAGACCGAGCACAATCTGCGGACGAAGTGTACGCTCGCTTTGTGACTGGTATCAATACAAATCGCCAAAATGAAAACAGGCAATGCAGAACTGAATCATGCTATTTTAGGACATTGTCTCTATTGTCAACGATGCCATCACCATGGACGTGTCGATACAATGAGACCATCGTTACATTATTATGCATCGGTTATATTCACAGAGACAACTGCTGATATATGAGAATGTAGGTTTGTAAAATGTATTCAAATTCATACAAGTTGAAACGATTGAGACGCCATCTCTTGAGCCTTAGGTCATGCTTCTCGGCACATTGATTGTCCACGTGTCCGTGTGTGTGTCCGTGCGTGCGTACTGTGTAATGTGTCGGTGTGATCGTGATGCTGGGTTTTGAAAAGGATGTTTGTAAAAAGAAAAATATAATACCATTGAATTCGAAGGCGTTGTCAACTAAGCGGGGATGTGTTCACGCCTCTGAAACCTGCGTACGTGCGTGCAGTTTGAGTCTAAATTGCATTTGTTCTGCAGTTATAAACCCCATTTTGATTGTAACACATTCACAAAATGTTGGGAAACGAAGAGACAAGAACAGTGTATGCTCGGTTAAACTGTGGATGATGTATCGTGACGGAGTGAGAACCCCACATTTTCAAGAGTGAGCTGGAGCATGAGGGGGGTGAAGTGAGGTGCGATCATGGCTGAGCGATTTGCGGGTAATTTGGCAAATGTAGATTCCCAGCGCCAGCACGCTCTGGCGAATGACGTCAGGGGACCTCTGACGTGCACTCTGAGAGCAGCCGGCGTGGAGTCGTGTTGCGGTTTGCTGCACAGCCGCACTAATAGCCAGGGTAGCCGCTGGATCCGAACCGGAGAAGAAACCTCCGCCGCCTCGACAAGGGGCACCACCAGGGCCCTGCGACACGCCCTCACTGCTGGGCCACCCCCTTGCCCGACATTGGAATCTCATTTCTGTAGGACAGCTTTCTTCTGCCTTGAGTGTGTTGTCTTTCCCACGCACCTCCGATTAGCGCGACTGGCTACGTACGGTGCGAAAGAAGTTCAACATACTGTACATACAACAAAGACAAAGATCCCCCGTATAGCCTTAACAGACTGTTGGGGCAAGTGCTTTTAGCGAGCACCTATGAAGGCCGGCACGGCACGCGAGGTGATGGGTGGCCAGCACCACGCCCGGCCGCCTTTGTCTCCCTCGTGACGATGTTTATACACCGCACCCAGGACCGGTTCAGATGATCGTCACTGGTGGTGTTGGTGGCCGTGAGCGGGAATCGAACTCGGGCCGCCGGGTTCGTAGCGCAACGTAGCGCTTACCGCTACACCACCGCTCCACACCAACAACAACACACACACACACACAGACACAAACAACACACAGACACACTAACAACAACACACACACAGACAGACACTAACAACAACACACACACAGACACTAACAACAACACACACACACAGACACAAACAACACACAGACATACACAGACACTAACAACAACACACACACTAACAACACACACACAGACACGCGCATTCCCTGACACGGTCCACCCTTCTCTCGACATCACCACCACCCCCCCCCCCCCTTGTCCTCTGGCACGAGAGCGCGGAGCCACTGATGAGGGTTGTCTCTCTCTGCCCCCTCCCCTCCCACCTCGTGGGGGAGCCCCACGGGCAGGGGACCCAGCGCCGGGCGCGGGGCCGCAGGAGGGCTCGAGGCAGCCGGGGGCATCACACGGGGCACCCCCCCCCCCCCTCCATTCATTTCATTTGTAATTTCATATTTTTTCACGGAAGACTAAAAAACATTTTGACCGTAAATTACACGTCTCCTGAAGGGATCTTGACTTTAAAGCTTTCGTGGCTGCAGGAATTCATATTCTTTGGGTCTTTCGGTAAAGTCACGTAGGTAGGTTCAAAGAAAATAACAAAAAAACTACGACGTTTCGATCGCAACACAAGCGGTCGTCATCATGAAAAGGGGGTTATCTACGTGACCTGGCTGAAAGACCCAGAGAATATGGGTCTCCTGAAGGGTTGTGTGTGTGTGTTTTCGCTACCTGGTTAACTCTTTGTTTAAATGGCAATTCTGTTTTGCTGTGGCGTGCGCGTCCAATCGTGTCTCTTGATGTTCAGCATACTGACACGTCTCATCGGCAGCCAAAGCATATGTGAATCCAGTCACAAGTCACACAGGTTAGCACTTGCTAATACAGAACGGTGTTTTACAACAGACTTATGATTAGATGCATGCATGCATGCTCTTTTCCTCTCAGTGTGTGTAATTTTGTGTAATGGTTGCTTGATGAAATCCGCATTAAAGGTACACATTTAAACATTGCTCGCCCCTCGTGCATTCGTTGACAAACGCCGAGTCGCATCTTCACCGCCACCCCAAGTCTGCTGCGAGCTCGTCAGGCGATCCAGAAAGTTTGCCAACGTCCCCACAGCGACGAGTAACCCATCGTCTGGCAATGGGCACCCGTGTTCAGGTGGAGTCCACGGAGCTGTTAGTTTGTTTTAGAGGCCAAGTTCCTTGTCACGTGGGAATGTATAGCACCAGCCAAATCAACTAAACTCCGCGGGCAAAACCAGGGGACCGAGAGAGAAATCCACGCAACCACGGTGAGAGCACGCCATCTCGTGAGATATACAGGGCCCAGTCAGGGTCAGCTGATCGCACATCATGGTAACGTCTCCCCGCCACCAGTGTGGAAGAGTAGACCAAATACCCACTGGAGCAGTGCCGGCACCGAGGTTGGTCTCTGCGCCGCTGAAAGTCAACGCAGGTTCACGCTCCCCTCCCCCAGCCGAGAGGAGCTGCAGCAGGGCCGGGGGTCACAGCGCAACGCGAGACGTCGCTCGTTTGGCGAAGTGGCTCGACACATGTTGTTGTTGTTGTTTCCCCAGGTGAGAACTCGAAGGGTAACAAGTCTCGTGTGCCAGTGGCGTTCATATCGGCAGTGGGGTGACGAAAGAGCCACCGCGTTGACCCGAATTGGTGTTTTCTAGCGGTGCGTTATTTGCAGAAAGGGGGACCCGATGTTTTCGTCGCCGGTAATTCTGTGCTCAACACCACCGCGGAGAACTTGGGCAAATTAACCCACCGCATAAAATTGCCACGAAACAGCGGAGGCGTTTGTCAGCTGTGGGTCTGAATCCAGCAGAGCTCCCTGGGTTCAGCAGAAGGCTCGGTGTGGATGAGAGGGCCTGGAACAGTGACGGGGATACACCTCTGACAGTCTATTCATATGACCAACCACTGTTGACTTTCCCTCAAATTGGTACTTAATTTTATCGACCATGGAATTGATGATGGGCCGAGTCAGCACCCCAACCATGCTTTGAGCCACTTGGCCACTTGAGAATAAATGGTCAAGGAAACCGGTGTCGAATACATCGTGTTTATACGGCGGACTCATCAACGAGACTATTGCACGCAATTGTAAAACAGTACAAAAGCAAACAATACATTCATTTTATTTGCATTTATCACACCTGAGCACATCTAATACGTTGGCAATCTGATACAATATAGCCTATTTTTCATTTTGTACATTACAAAGTCAATGGACTCCAAATGCACTTTGTCTAATCTGCAATGTGTTACAGTGGAATGAATACCCCATGTGTTCCAGCGGAATAGATCGACCCAATGTTGTGAAAAGAGGCCAAGGTTTCAACCGATGGACGCCCTGAAAAGTCAAAGTGTTTTTAAGAGGCCAGGGCAGGAAGCGTGAACCGCCTGCCCTAGCACGTGTTGCGGGGGCTTCTTTCTCATCGCCACAAATGAGCCAATCGTTGTTGATTTGCCATACAAACGACGTCAGGCCGTTGTCTACGCTTCAGTAGCATTAGGAGAGAAGATATCGAATTTGCCTCCAGTGCCGCCCTGGTATTGCACACCACAAGGTCCTTGTGCTTTGTAAGCATGTACTGTACAACGAACTTCTTTTGCACCGTACGTAGCCAACCGTGCTGAATCGGAGGTGCGCGGTTTCAAACACAACTAAGCAGCCATGCGTCTATTCACTTCTGCTTGGACCTGTTGTGAGTGTTGGATCACAACGTGAGCGTGGGACTTGGAAGTGCAAAAATTACAGAATACGGGGACAGATGTGGAATTCAGCACCAAGTTGCACCTCAGGTGCACAAAGTTGTACCTCAGGGGCAAGGGGTGTCACACAGGATGCACATTAGCCATTTATAATATTATCACGCAGAGAAACAAACCGCCAGAGTACTTCTGGTGCCTCTTATGAAGGCCTCTAAACAAGGGTTTCCTGAGACGCGAAGTAAAGCCCCTGGCGAGGTCGATGCGATACGTTCCATGGTCTGATCATTTGAGACAGCGGGAGCCACTCGGTTGGAGTGAATTTGAGGATCCAATGGTGCCACGTGGACAGACACAGCCAGAGCAGTGTCCTGCAGCAGCCTGGGCCAAGGCCTCGGTTGCCCTGCGGAGAGTTCCAGCTACGCTGTTTCCCACGATATCCCCGGGGTGAGTTTTTGGATCGGGTTCACCGTGATCGTTACTTTGTGGCCGATGCTGGCAAGACGAGGGCGATAGGCGAGATTCCCCACCGGGGTGACGCCCACGTGTTTGGGTACAGGCGCCTTCCGCAAAAAGAAGCGTCGAGTTTCTTCCCTGGCGGCATTGCCGCTCGAAACGCCGACGCAACTTTCATTGGTGCGGTGTTGAATGATGTTGACTAGGCACTCGGTGGCCCACTCAGAACATCTGCATCGAGTCAAATAAAACCAAACGCTACGATCCCATTTGTAGAGTCGCTCTGTGGCCAGCCTCACACCGTCAGCTAGCTGCGTGCTCCAGAGCTGTTCGGTCTCAAGTAGAACGATGGAATTAAATCCGAAGAGTTTAGTCGGTGGTGCTGGCTCAGACGTGAGCCCCGTAAGCCACACGTCCACTGCTGCCAGTGCAAATTAGCAGGTACATTCAAGTTTAAAAGAGGTTTGAGATTTTTCGTAACAAAGATGTGCATTCATTTGATGGGAGAATTGTTTTTGAAGGCACATGATGACATTCAATTATTTATACTGGAAGAATCAGATGAGCTGTAAAGCTCTTTTTCACAGCTGTCCAAAGCGTGTGGCACTGTCACGCCATCGGCAGGATGGCTGAAGTGGATGGCAACTCAAGCAGACTGCTGTAATGACGATACTGCAGGGATGGAATTTATACTGACATAAGGGTGCCGAGACTGCCAAGGTGTGAAAAAGATGTATGGGTGAGCGAGCTTTTGTGGACGGCCACGCCTGCACGCGTGTCCACTGTAAACGTCGTCGAAAAGCGAGCCAAACGACGCAAGGAAATCAAAGCAGACATCGTCGATCAAGCCAAGGAACAGCCTGACCAAGAAAACGGCTGTGACCCCCAGCAATGCTGAGAGCGGAGCGACGCCGAGGGGTGGCGGTGAGGGAGGGACACCGCGAGTTCGTTGCAGGCCACCCCTGTGCTGAGCAGCACACGATGTGCGAACCGGAACGTTGGGTCCACTAGCCAGCTCGTCTGCAGATAGCAACCGAGAAGAATGGAGTTTTCCCCGTGCTGTACGTACGTATGTTGAACTTGTTTCGCACTGTGCGTAGCCAACCGTGCTAGTCGGAGGTGCGGGGGGGAAGGACAACAAACTCCTAAATATAAAAAGCACTACTAAAGAAATTGGTTTTCAATCTAGATTATTTAAAAGTGCATAGCTCAAGTAGCTTCCTAATATCTGAAGGAAGAGCGTTCCAGATGGCCGCTGAAATGCATCTGAACGCGCTTGATGCGATGGCCTTCGTTGTTCAATGGTTCGCGAAAAGCCGCTTCTGCCAGGATGACCGAGCGGTGACGTTTTATGCCGATACTCGCAAGGTGGCGCTCCGACAGCGTGCGGCGATGGTGCCAAGCGTTACGCGGAGAAGTGACCTCCAGGGCCTGACGACACAGGCATGCATCGACTGTCCATGTGACGACTTTGATGAATAGTTATGGTGCATCCGTCGTATGACAGAGTTAAAGCACTGATGTTTAGGTGTTGCTTGACTTCATAGATAATGTGTTGTGTGCATTTCCGATTAGCACGTTTGGCTACGCACGCTGCAGCAGAAGTTCAACATAGGTACCACATCGCCTGGCGTCAACATTCTATGGCTGCCTTTGTCATTTTATTATTTTTTGTATGGCTGATGAGCGACAACTACAATTTCACATTCAGGTGGTCAAACCAGATCACATTATTGATTCAGATCAATGTACCAAAAAACCATATAATATCGGTTTAAAATTGTTCGATCGTTTCTCACAACGGCAAATTGTACGCTCATAAAAATCTAATAAAACCAGAAAAAACGTGCCCATAACGTAAGGGATCTAAGAAACCTATTTGTAGGGTCAACATTACAGGACGCACGTTCACAGCGCGGCTGATGCAAGAGAAACTCAGCAGGGTCACAGCTCCCTCCTCCACTCTGCTTCCACGTTCACGTCGCCACCTGCAAGGAAATAGAACAGAATGGATTTGTGCTCTCACCAGAAGAACACGCCGTACACATTTCATGACTACCACCGCTCCTTCTCGTCAAAGAGCATAAACCGTGACGCAAAATCTGGTCATGCTCGTAGCGGCTTTTGGATAGCCATCGAACAAAGACGGTCACTGCATCGCGTGCTTTCAGATGTGCTTCTGCGGCCGTCTGGAACGCTCTTCCTTCCTATATTAGAAAGCCACTGGGCTATGCACTTTTAAATCTGAATAACAAACTAATTTCTTTAAAAATGCATTTTCTATTGAGTTTGTTGTCCTTCCCCTGCACCTCCGATGAGCATGGTTGGCTTGATAAGGTGTGAAAAAAGTTCAACATACATACGAAGTGCTTGGACAGGGTGGTCAGTTTTAGTGATTATTCCAATGTTTTAGTCTAACTGTCCTGTACGTGTCACGTTGTAAGAAGAGTCCATTTGCAAGCGGAAGTCTCCCAAGTGAGCCATAGGTCACCCCGTGTCAACGAGCGGCACGGGAAGGCATCGCAGAACTTGTACTGCTCATTGTTACTTCTTTATTGCTTCTCACATTACTTCAAGGGACCTCTCATTCACATTCATGCCTCTTGATTTGCTCTGGAGAAGAACCGTGGCCTTGAACCGTTTCTAACTTATGGAAAGCAGCCCCAACCACACATTAAAACGGGAGATTGGTCGCAAAACTGCAAGGCATAATGCAGTGACGTAATGCATTTTTGTCATGGGCCCAACTAATCAACATTAGGCATCCCTAGAACAACTGCAACATTTTAACCAAGTCACCGGGAGCCACAATGCTCAGAGGTGCTCATTCTGGGCCGACACACAAATTGTGTGGAGCCTCGGCATCTTCTAAACGTGCCGCATGCCCCCATCATCTCCGTGCTAAAATATGGCCCTAACCGTCTCCAAACAGGGTATGGCCCTGTGCGTGCTCGCGGCCGGCTGCACACCATCACGATGGTGGAGAGGACGACAAGACGGACCAGGGGAGGGCGAGGTGACGGTGGGCGACAGAGGGGGGGGGGAGCCTTGCGCTAGGAGGGGGCGGGCCTGGCAGTGTCGGCATGCTGGAGCAGAGGAAGTTCCAGACAACGGGGGAAGAGAAGGAGCGGCCGCTGAGCTGAAGCTGACATGGGGGGGTAGGAGGGGGCACTGGTGTCTGGAGTGGGCACCAGAGGGAGCTACGTGGGGAGCGATGAGCTCAGAGGTGCAAAGGGGCAAGGTCCTGGGGGACATCCCCACGGCACGGAGAGCTCCATCGCCCGGCTACAGGCGCAGTGGCAGCCACTGGACGCGTCGCAATTCACACCGCTCGTCGCCATGGATACGTCACGATTCACACCGCTTGTTGCTATGGATAAGTCGCGATTCACACCGCTTGTTGCTATGGATATGTCACGATTCACACCGCTCGTCGCCATGGATACGTCACGAGTCGTCTTAAGAATAAACTCCTGGGGTGAGTACCTTCCCTCTGGCGGCTGCAGCAGTCACGTTAACCAATTGCACACAACTTATACAAAGTGAAAATAATCGATTCTTACATGCACAGCTCAATGGCTGTATGAGCACAAGAATCTATTTAACCGATGAATCGATGCATCATTACTCCCAATGATGGGAGTGATGCAGTCACATGACTATCTACAGGGTTCTACGAACGAGAATGAGTGCTGCAGCGAGCAGGAGGCCACGGAAGTTACCTTTGATGCCATTGGAAGTACCGGCGTCAACTCCACCATCCATCTCGTTCGGGTCTTCGTCCTCCTCGCGGATGTCGACGCCCATGAAGCCTCCCCGTGAGCGACAGTAGTTGATGAAACTAGGACAAGGAAGACAAATCACGCTCATGCGTGCATTCTCAACATGCCTTGGTGCTCAGAATTACACATCGTAAAAGTAACGGCGTATTACCTGCTGTGTGACGTGGAGTCGAAACATGGATGTTACCCAAGCAAATACGAAGAGTGCAAAGATTGGAAAGGATAAACAAGCAAGGGTGGAGAGGTGCATGCTGGGAATTACAATGATGGGCAGAGAGAGGAGCTCGTGGATTAGAGATCATACGTAAGGTATAGGCATCACTTTTATATTCATGCAGCAGTGGATAGAGCATGATGAACACTATAAAAGCATGGAGAGATGAATGTTTGCAGTCTCCACCCTGTATCTGTCGCCAGTCACATGTTTTTTTTTACCAATGTATAGTTTATTTTAAATAAACTCTTTTAACTATTTTTATTTTACCAGGTAAGACCCATTGAGCTGGCCACAATTGATAGCTCAATGAAGTCGCTTTTCAGGCGTAAATTTATAGCATCCAAATAATCTTAACGCCCGTTTCTAAATTTGGAGGTAAAAACTGAGCCGATGGAACGAAAGAGAACAGACGAAGCTTTCAGCGACGCGTGGGTTGAGGAGGCGACTCGCATCAGGAAGCGGCTTCAATAATAAAGTCACGACGTATTAGTGAAACGACGCTCAAGGGGGAGACGTATATAGGGGTCTTAATGCATATGGGATATGATAGGGTTGTGTTTAAGGTGTTATTGTGGGCTTTGCTTTTTGGGTGTCTCGTAGAGGGAGCTCTACATCCAGAGAGGTGATATCCGAGGCTGGTACATTACATTCAGAAGAAGGCTGCGTCCACCAAAAATGTCGGATTTTTGTTAATTGGTCGTCAACAACTTGTAAAACTACTTCCATCTCTTGCCACCAGTGGTGTCCTGCGTCTCAAATGCAGCCCCCACCTCTCCCAGTTGGGGTCCTTGGAGAGCGTGACGGGGTTTCCGATCACCACCAGCAGGGCTTTGGCTCGGGTCAGCGCGACGTTAAACCTCTGTTGGAGAAACCGGTGGCACCCACAAAGACAACACTTAGCTCTGGCACAATGTCGCTGTTCAGGTCGAGCAGGGCCCTATCGTTTAGACAAGAGTGCCTTAACCAATGACGTTCGGTAACCCAGCAACATGCGTTGTACAAGCCTGACTGCTGATGAGGCCCAGAAGGTCAAAACCAGGCCAGAATTTGCTTGCTTAAACAAATGCTGCTGGATAAAATTTGGTCTGGAAGCTTAATAGGCTGATGACAATAACATCGTATTTGTGTGGGCAGACACAGACCGGAGTGATGTTTAATCACATTATTACCCATAATACTCCACAATGATGCATAACAAGTCAGGAAAAGAACACTGCTGACACAAAATATACAAGGAGAGTTTAACGTCACTTGACAAACATTCTATATTGAGATATTTGCATTTCTGTTGAAATATTAATTATAGCAATTGTAAAAGGCATATGTGGTGCCATCACCTGCCTATGCAAACTGCCTATAGAGGATTGAGTCCCTGGTTCAGGATGGTGTCCAGTTAGCATAGATTCCGAGTCTGAATGTCAACGTTGCCAAAAAATAAACAATTATGACATGATATTGTAAAACTGAGGAGAATATATTTTATTTGGAGACACATCTTGCCCAACTCAGAGGGTTTCGGCTCAAACTTCACCGGCCGTGGGTTTCCCCACCACGGATTTGACCATTCACGCCAATGCTTTGAGGAACAGTTCGCCAATCGCGTCCCTGTAGCTTGCCCAATCAGCTGAGCGAGAGATTCCTGTAGAGTACGCATCGTGATGAAACACAGCACTGTACTCTAACGACACTGCTCATGATAATGCTGCCGTAGAATAATACACACGCCACCATTATCGTTTGTAGTAATTAAAAGTATTGTTAGTTTGTTCTTTATTTAACTGCATAATATTTACTGCACGTATGCCATTAACCTCATCTTTATTTTCAGGTCAACTTTTACATATAAGTGTACAGTGTAGTACCATACACTATATTGACTATATACATTTACTGTACCGGTTATATATAACGCTATAAAAATACATTTGACATAAAATCAACTTCCCGTTTCATATTCACGTTGGTGTAGGATAATGTTAAACAAAAGAACGGGGTGTGGTAATATGAAGCGAGAAGCAAACCCGAGTTTTTCCATTTGAGTTTGCAGATAACAGATTTGCCGTTTGTGGATATTTCCTAGAACGTGGACCCGGCGATGGCCAAGGTTCTGGAGTGCTTCATAAGCACTGGAACCTACATGGGCTGTCTGACGAGGGCGATCTGGTCAAGATGATCATAAGAGTAAAGTAGAAAACACAAGTAAACACGGTACTTCAAGGGATCGAATCAAGTTATTTCAAGCTATCAGCTCATAAATTACACCCACAGGATGGCCTCTTGGTCAACATCATGAACTACCACTGCATCTCCTGATGAGTACAACGTTTCACTCCTAATTAAACGTCTTCCTCAACAGTGGCATCTGGCTCAAGAGCGGGCGGCTGGGGTCACCTTTGGATTCCGAAGGAAGCCAAGTCCAAACTTCTCATCGAAGGAGAGGAAGCTCATGTCGCTGCGGACCGTCGAGATGATGATGGCCGTGCGCTCCTGCCCCTGGAATTCCTCCACAGAGCCGACCTGGGATCAGCACACGGCACAGCCCACCGATCGATCACCGCCAACGAGCAGGTAGTGGCACAGCACAAACCGTCCGCCGCCGTGAAGCCCCACGAGTGGAGACAGCACAAGCCGGGGTCACCTAACAAGTTCCACGGACACAGACTCCGCTAGCTTGCTGACCCGCCCCTACTGGAGATCTGTTAAAAAGAGCTTCATAGCTCATCGGATTCCTCCTGCAGTCTAAATAAAGATTCAGATTCTGATCAGAACTTTGTCTTCCCAATCCCAAACCCACATTTTATAAAAATATTTTCTGTTTTTGTGGATAACTTTGGCGGAAGTGTCTCTCCTTGCCCGACACAATTTCTAATTTGTGTGTCTTGGCCCTTTCTTCATGTAATGAAATTGTAGCCTTTCCCTTGAAATACTTGTTGTTGTTGTTAATTATTATTTCTAAATCTAGATTAAAGTCTTGGATTGTGGGGACTTGGATGGTCCCATCAATTTCCATCAAATTAAATACCTTTTGGTCTACAAAAGGCCAGGCATACAAATATGTTTAAAATACCACTTGGCATAATCATCAGTGTGCATATATTCTTAGAGGAATCAATTCTCATAGGTACTATGTAATGCACGAATCGTGAGCTTAAAAACACATTTTCATTAATTAATTGACAAATCTTTACATAGATTATACTGCCCCGTTATGATTGCACAGGCCCATATACATATTAATATGACTGTAACTATTGTTGATGACCATTTGTATGCGAAAGCTGCATCGCTGGCTGCCTGTGCTCAATGCTAACAACCATGCTGGCTGGGAAGACACGTCACAACTCCTGCACAGCAACTCAGATGAGTCGGGATTGCTTCCCACCTTCAGCTCACGAATATCCTTCCGCTTTCTCAGCTCTTTATCAACTTCTGTGATGGCCTTCTTTATTTTTTGGACCTGTTGGCACACAAGAACACATTTTACTCACACACGTGCTGAATTTAATGCGAGTGTATTCGTGCTATTTGAGAGAGGGGTCGCCACTGGAGTAGAAGCAGTGATGACAGCAGCGTGAAGTCGTCATTGGCCGAGCCATCCCTAGGGTGGATGGCAAATCGGGGCGACCGCCCCGGGCCCCGTGCTTTGGGGGGGCCACGCTTCGACGATGTGAGACTTCTGGTTTAGTTTGAAGGTGTTGGGGCGCCCGCACGGTGGGGTTTGCCCCGGGCCCCGGAACCCTCCTACGGAGGGCCCTGCTCATTGGAGATCTACACCGGAGTGCAATCATCATGGACATGGGGCTCAATTTGAGTGCCGAGTCTGCCAAGTGGCAGAATATGGAAAAGAGCAAAGGACAAGCATCATTGCAGTGGGTGCAATAGCCATCATAATACGCGCCGTCTGCTTAGCATTGGATGGTAAATATACCCTGACGTTATTCGCAACAGTAGGCCATTGTGTGCAGGGGACAGGGTCCCGATTTTCCGATTTAAAAAAAATACCCACAAATTACTCAAATGGGTTTACACACAGCACTCATCATCCCCTCCGAGCAGAATAACACCCCGATCACTCGCGCTCATGAGACGGTCCTGGTCTCTTGAGTCTTCACCTGGGTTACCAAGCAAACGTGAAACTCGCACGTGCAGCTAGCTGGGAGCCTTGTGGAATGGGACAGATGACAGATTTGAGCGAGGGAAGAGATAAAGTGAGGAGCGAGGGAAGAGATTAGGTGAGGAGCGAGGGAGGGAGGAGGGGGGTGAAAGAGCACCACCTTGGGTGACAATTGCTTTATATGGCCAATGCCAGTGAATTATGTGATAACCATTTGAAACTAGTGGTGTTCATATCAAATAATTTGCTCTTATTAGCCATACATCCTCTCTTATTAGCCATACACCTCCGATTAGCACACTTGGCTATGTACGGTGCGAAAGAAGTTCAACATACATGCATGCAATTGGTATGACTCAAGTTTTACTACCGGAGGTGGCACTGATTTCTGCTCTGGCTCGTGGACTACGAAGGCAGATGCAGTTGTGCCGACTCTCTCAGCTGCTACTGAGCAGCATCGCACGGAGACCCACCTGCTTACGGTACGGCGCAATGACTCCAATCTCCTTGGGCGAGACCTTGGCGAGGCCCTTCTTGCCGCTCGATTCCAGGATCTTCGTGAGGTACGACACCACCTCTTCCACTTCGGCCACGTTGAAGAACGACGGGCTGTTCTCCTCGCGCGTGTCCTGGCCGATGACCGAGTGGAAGATGACGGGGAAGCCCTGGTGACGCAGCAGGGTGTGGAACACGAAGGCAAACGGTCAATTCGGTGCCAGAGCAGAACGGTGCCCAGAGCGACACCTTGCGCCATGAGCGGCCACGACGATGGACAGGCAAGCACGGGACGTTGTTCAAATTTGACTCTCGTTTACAAATGTGCTGAGGATCGTGATTAAGTTTATTTTATCCACGACAACGTTCGGGCATGGAGTTGGAGATATACGAGCGCCAGGATGGCGGGATGTTACCCGTGCGACTTGCGGGGGTACAACGCGAGGTTCTACAAATCCACAAAGCTTTCGGGGATCGTCAGGTTTGGTAAAACAATCCCCGCGACCGACGCAGCATGGGTAGGGCCTCCGTGCAGCAGTGCGCTCGCACAGGAAGGGCCGTGCGCTGCTCTGATCGTGGTTATTTCCCCGGGGAGCCGCACTGTTGGGGGGCGACCGCTCGCGCACCTTGGTCGGCAGGTGCTCCCACTGGCAGAAGTTGTTCCTCTTGAGCTCGTCAGCGCACACCTGCAGCTCGCCCTCGTAGAACAACGTGTTGGGAAGCTCCAGGATGGCGGGATGTGACCTACGCGGGTTGCGACAACGGGCTCCGTGAAGCCGCTCGCTCTCCACAACAACAGCAGGTGACCACGACAAGCGGCTGCTCCAGCGGCCGCAGCGCTGGCGACGTGGGAGAGCAGAGTGCCGCCGCCCATTGCGGACCAACCTCGGGCAGTGCCTCGGGCATTAGTGACGGCAATTAATGTTGTCGTAATCCACCCACTCACTGCCAAGCATCGTGATGTACCCGTGTTAACTCGCAGCTTCTGCTAGGCTGTTTTATAATTACGTGGGCATCTTTGTTTGTAGAGATCTCTATTCCAAAAGCTGTCCGAGTATCCAAATGACACAAGCGCATGTTCTCGTATACGTTGACGCGAAGAGACTCTGCGGTCTGGACATGAGCAGAGACGTTCGCCTGAACAAGTACCGCTGTCGCTGTTGGACCAAAAGCAAGCAGTCCGCCTCTCATCACCTGTAGTTCTTGAGCAGCTTGGTGACAAATGAATGGTTGAAAAAGCCATCAGACGACTTCTGGTACAGGGGGTTCTCGTTCATGAGCCGCTCTATGAGGGACCTGTCTGTAGAATGAGAAGGGGCGGGGGGGGGGGGCGTATTTGCTTTGTGCTGCTAACGACAGTGCACAGATAGAAAGAAAAATCGTGTCGCGTATTCAACACTTTGACTAAACGAGACTTATTGCCATGTTGTTATTATTGTATGAGAATTACACGTTTTTCAAAGTCAGTTGATTTTATGATCAAATCACCTAGAATGTGTCCAACCTCATCAGAGGCTAAACAGGGATGAGCCTGGAGAGTTCTAGAATAGGCAACCGCTGTGCATGAAACACGGGTCGATAGCCCGCTGTAAAGGCCTTGATCCACTTGCCAATATCAGGGCTACCGTTGCCGGCAATCATGACCAGCAATGGTTGCCTCAGCATTTATCATTTTGTAAAAATCTCACCGGCTCAAACTCTCAACAATTCCGATTCAAGCTGCCCCCCGAGCGGGTAACGGGGTGGCAACTACCAATCAGATTTGAGGGGTCACACCGACCGCCTGGCCACGTCAACGCTTTCAGGGGTGCAGGGCAGAGGGGCTCACTGAGGTGGTGCTTAATGGCGAGGGGAGAGCGGATGATCGGCCCCAGCTGCTTGGGGTCTCCGGCCAGAACGAGCTGCCCCCCGTCTTGGTTCACTTGCGACGGCGGCCTCAGCAGCCCTGGGCGTCAAATAGCGGCACACAGCGCTCCACCACCAGACCACGCTCCACCACCAGACCACGCTCCACCACCAGACCACGCTCCACCACCAGACCACGCTCCACCACCAGACCACGCTCCACCACCAGACCACGCTCCACCACCAGACCACGCTCCACCACCAGACCACGCTCCACCACCAGACCACGCTCCACCACCAGACCACGCTCCACCACCAGACCACGCTCCACCACCAGACCACGCTCCACCACCAGACCACGCTCCACCACCAGACCACGCTCCACCACCAGACCACGCTCCACCACCAGACCACGCTCCATCACCAGACCACGCTGCACCACCAGGCCACGCTCCACCACCAGGCCACGCTCCACCACCAGGCCACGCTCCACCACCAGGCCACGCTCCACCACCAGACCACGCTCCATCACCAGACCACGCTGCACCACCAGACCACGCTGCACCACAAGTGAACGTGGAGGGTGCGAGATTCTCCACTCACCCGCGACAGCCACCAGGCACTCGGGCTCCACGGCCTGGCCCGCCTCGTCCACGAAGATGTGTGAGAAGTGGCCTTTTCCATGGAAGCTGGCCGACACCAGCCTGGGAGCAGGGCAGCCACAGTGAAGGTTTGCTCCGACCGCCTCCTTCAGCGATGTCCGAGTGCAGCTTAATCAACGACCTTTGCTCATTTCCATAAATCTACTCCCACCTGGAAAAACCATCTCCAGCTCCAGTGTCTACCCTCACGTCGATGCCGATGGCACTCGGCTTTACACACCCACGGACGTCTGTGTGAAGCGGGACTCTAAACCTTGCACGGGCCTCCTCCAAGTCGACCCAACTTCAGAGGAGTTCTTGCTGTGGTGTGTAAACATTAGCTCTATAGGGAGATATTTGTCTTTGAAGTGTGTGTGTGCATCACCATCATCACCATCATCACCGATTCAACACCGATTGCACTGTGTGTGCCACCAGCGATGAGACGCGTCTGTGTAAATGTGTGTTGGTATATCAGATGAACCAGATCCTGATTGGCCGGCTCTGTCGTTGAGTGGCGCTCGGACAATGCCTTCCGTAACAGTCCATAATCAAAAAGTGAATTAATTGGTTAATGATATTCACTTTGTACCAAGGGTGGCACAGTCGGGTTTTTTTTACAATCGGGTTTAATTGTCTTTTTATATTAAATCCGATCATCTGAGATTGGGAGAAATCCGGTTTAATTGGTTCTAATTGCAGAACCGCACTTCTCAACGATGGGCTTCATCCATTCCAAGCTAAGGAACTCACTGGCGCCCACGATTGTGGAGGAGAAGCTCGTGTTCATCAAGACCAACCTGCCCGCCACATTCTACGACTACCCCGTGCCCGACGGCCCCGAGTACGATAGCAGCACCGACGAGGAAGCAGCCTAAGCCTATCAGAGTTTCGTATTCATTAAACCAGGTTTTAATTCCCCGAAATCGGGTTTAATTGTATTAAAGAAAAAACCCCGATGCCTGCCGCTGGAAAAAAATCGGGTTTTTTCCACCCATGCTTTGTACAACAGCAAAAATAATTATGTGTCCAATAGAAGCAAATGGCTTAAAACCACTGCAATATTTTCAACATTGAGAAATTAACACCTGGAATTTTTTAGATCAAGCGCTATGGGTGTTCCAACAGGTATCATTTAAATTGGTGAACATCTTATGATGCATTGTAGTATTTATAACATACCAAAAAACACATCGTACCTTCCTGCAGTGATCAGTGTTGTCACCAAAACTTTGTACGTCATGAGGTCTTCCTTTTTAGGGTACCAGAAACGCTTTTGTTCCCCGTCCCAGTTGGAACACTCCTGCAAGCGCGTAGTAGACACGTTACATGGGACACAGCGCATATACACCAAGACACACGCAACTCGTATTACAACTCTCCTGTTGTGTGCAACTTGTATTCCGCTTAGCAGTACCAACTGTGTGTGTATCTCTTGTTGCATTTAAAAGTCTCCTCTCAATTCACTCCCTCCTGCACTAGGGTGCAGCATGCGTGCGTCTCTGTGAGTTACCGTGCTCACTGTAGTCAGAGCACGGACTTCAATAAACATCCATTTTAAAAGCATGCTTCTGCCCTTACAATGGGAAACTCTAGAACAGCAAATTGGATGGTACGGAGAACCACTGTGTGTGTGATGCGCAGCTCAGTGAATGAATGTTACACGAACTGGGCGACCACCACAGCCTGGGGAGGCATTCATCCAGCAGTGGATTGACTCAGGGGACGTAACATTATTGTGCTTATTAATTTCATACGAACTGTGGAAAAAGACCGATACCTTCACAGCAGCAGGGATTGAATTCCAGTCACGGCTGTAAGCGTTGAGGCGGTATATGTTGTTTTTGCCAATTTCAGGAATCAACTGCTGGCAGATGAGATCAGCGGCACTGTTGGAGGGAGCACAGGCCAACACGTGCGTCCCAGGAATGCACTTTACCACCTGCGTCAGACACACACAGCGCAGACATCACCTGCGTGATTAGTGCATCAGATACACACACAGCGCAGGCCTCACCTGTGTGTTGACTAAACACAGCAGGGGGACCTACTCACATCAATGACATAAATTATTGAATGGAGCCAACATTACGAAAATCAGCGATTGCAATGCTGGGGATGCCCTTTACGGAAGATTATTTGGGCATCATTCCACCACTTTTTTATCCGTATTTTTTATTCACGAGTCTGATCGCACCCAAAGCCTCGCCTAAAGTGGGCGAGGCTTCGTGCAGGGTTAGGGTGGAGCCAACACTGATGAAACGTTTCTGTGCACGATGCGGAAACGTTGCACCGTAGCCCGGAGTCGCATCGAGCGAGTTCCATTGCCGGCCAGGGTTAACGTGCGTGGCGAGTGACATCTGAACCAGTGCTGAACGTCAACTTCACTAACCCGTTCTGACCAGCGTGGTGAAGTATGGTCATACAACCCCCTTGACCGACACGGTGTCGGGAATCCTTAATCCAGCAGTGGGCTGACCAAGAGCCAAGAATATCATTATAATTTTGAAGCTTTAATAAAAACCCGCGAATATGAAATGCCCAAGTCAGTAGGTCAGTAGGTTACTTTGTGTAGATATGGAATGTTGAACTTCTCTCGCACCGTACATAGCCAACCGTGCAAATTAGATATATGGGGGAAGGACAACACCACTAAAAATAAAAAGCAGCTCTAAAGAAATGCGTTTTCAATCGAGAAATTGAACTGAAATTGTGAACTGCGTGTGGGCTGGGTGGGTCTCCCGCACTGACCTGACGGATGGATTCCACCAGAGTCACCGTCTTGCCGGTCCCTGGAGGCCCGAAGATGAGGTACGGCGCAGGGCGTGAGATTCCAGACACGATGTTTTGCACGGCGCGATACTGCTCCGGGTTATCGGACAGGATGCGGTTGTACAGCCTGGGTCACAACAAGGGGGGGGACTCGGCCGTCAGCACCTTCCCCAGCAAGACCGATGCATCTATATCAGCCATTATTTCATTTTACCAGGTAAGGCTCACTGAGCTACATAGCTCTTTTTCAGAAGCGGCCTGTCCACAAATGAAAGCTCAACTTAGTGCTTATCACGTGGAAATTTACAGCAGCCAAATACTCTGAACGCATGTCAATTATAAATGTGACGGGAAAAACCGGAGCACCCGGAGAAAAATCCACACGACCACAGGGAGAACATGCAAACTACACCTATACAGGCATCAGGGTTGGGATCGAATCCGCAACCTCCTGTGTACCAGGCAAGGTAGTTAACATCTCACCACCGTGGCGCTGCCACATCGGCTGTGTTATTGATGGACGCATGGGGTCTTTTTGGGTTGGCTCTGGCTCAAGTGAACCGGCTTAAAGTGGCGCTTAACTTGAGCCGGGTCCCAGCGATGCTCAACATTTCCATAGAGCCGAGACTGAGCCAAGCCACAGCAGAACCACTCACTCGTGAGTCCCTGAAAGCAACGGAGTGGCTCCATCCTGAGCTAGGCCGCGTTACAGGCCAAGCCAGGACCTCAGCACGACTGGAAATGATGGGTGGTAGGCAAGTCTCGCAGTCAACGCCATCACCAACAAAGGTCACCGCACACCGCTTACACGAGTTGTGAGCTGGGATCCTGTATCGTCATGTTGTAGGAGCCTGTAGGGAACAGGACGTGCTCGAAGGCCGGGTTCGCCACCGCCTGGTCCACGGCACGGTGCTGCAGTTTCAGTGGCGTCCGGTTGAACGTGAACATCACATCGAACTTCATGTTCTTCACAAATAGATTCAAGAACCTAAGGTTGCCGCACGAAACAGACACACACGAAAAAAATAACTGCGGACTCTGAAAAGTCAATGGACAACCTTTGAGAGGGATTAGAAATACAAGACGGTCACTCGCGACACAGACTCTCGATCGTCCCCCGCTGCCCCGTCTCCCCCTCCCCTCCCCCGCCCCTACCACCCAACTCGCCCCGGTGTGCGACGTGTGCACGTGCGGTGTGCGCGCACATGCTGTCGTCATCGTCGTTTGTAGTTGTTCCTCCTGGTTTCTCTTGTTGAATGCTGAAGTCGGATTGGGGTGGAGTGGTTCACGCACTGAGCTGCATGAACCCGATTCCCTGAGTTCAATTCCCAACCCTAACTGACATCTCCAGTGAGTGATATCAGAACTGGTTCTGGACTGGATTGACCAGCATGGTGAACTATGGCCAAACAATAACCCATGGCAGACATGGCGTGGGCAGGTTGACAAAGGGCTTCACAATACTCGTCACCATTGTCAGTCTTCATCAATCCACTGCTGAATGACAGCCTCCCCAAGCCATCACCATCTCCCACGGTTCTACGGTGTAACAATCCACCCAGCACCTCCACCCACGGGCTGATTTCATCGCTCCATCTCCTCGGTAGATGTCCTCTCGCACAGAGAGCTCCATTCCTCAGCTGCCACTCCATTAACATTCTTGACCATTGTCCACCATCACTGCTATCGACACGACCTCCCCTAGCCCACTTACTTTCCTCCTTCATAGTTTACGTGACATCATTCACCTGCGTACGTTCTATTTTTACTATTTTTATTTTACCAGAAAAGGCCACTTCGCTATAAAAAGCTCTTTTTTTAGAAGCGACCTCTATAAATGTGTAGTGACACAGCGCCGACTGCTGTCCAGCAGCGGGAACTGCGGTGGACAGTTGGCACACTCACGCCGTCGAGCATCTACATGCCTGTGCGTGCCGGCAGGGCGGAGGAACTGGGGCAAGGGTCACGGAAGACCTCATCGGGAAGCCCCTGGAACCCGCTAGTGGGTAATCCAAAGCGTGAACCTCTCCACGCTCCTTCGCTAACTTTTCAATGTTTGCACCATTCGTTTTGTTAATTCTGAGCCATGCGTCATACGAGAAGCAGAGCACGCTGAGCAAACACTTTGTTCTTTCTCCACATTGGAATGTTTCTTTATTATCAGGTTAAAATTTTCAAAATAACTCCAATTCGCTCTAATCCACTTCTTGATTTAAGTTGACCCTCCAACAAAAATCACCACTCATTTTGCAAACACATGGTTCATGACCCTTGTTTAGCTCATATTTCTCCTGGACCCAATTTTGCAGCCTTCCTTATTAACAAAGCAGGCTGTAATGTACCATTCAAATCAAATGAAGCAAGGTCCCACTGAAGCATAACCTACATCTCAAAAACAACTGAACTTTAAATTTCGATTTAAAGCTTTCGTGACTGCAGGGATTCATCTGCTTGGTTCTTTCGGTAAAGTCACGTAGAAGGGAAGCAATAAAATAATAAAAATAAAACATAATAAAATAATTCTCACGACGTTTCGGCCACAACGTAAGCAGCCGTCTTCAGGTGAAGAATGAAACACCACCAAGCTTGGAGCGTATATTTAAGCTGAGTTGGAGGGGGGGGGAGGTGGGAAGAAGAGCGCCTAAACAAAATAATTTGCATATCAAGAGGAATTTAGCATATGGAAAATGCGTAGGAGGTGGGCGGGGGGGTTTCAAATTAATATTATGCCCGTGCATTATGCAGGATTAGCAGCATCAAAGGGAGGGGGAAGGGGGGTAGCATTAACAAAGGAAAGGAATGTTAATAGTATGTAGCTGCAGTTGCTAAACAACCACGTAAAAAACTAAAGTATAAACTACATAAACAACTAAAGTATAAACTACATAGCATCATCAGTATACTTACTATACTCTACAATAAGCTGAGTTACTAACAGTAAGTAATACATTACAATTCTACGTCGTAAAAATTATATATCATTTTTACGACGTAGAATATTAATTTGAACCCCCCCCGCCCACCTCCTACGCATTTACTATACTCTACAATAAGCTGAGTTACTAACAGTAAGTAATACATTACAATTCTACGTCGTAAAAATTATATACGCTCCAAGCTTGGTGGTGTTTCATTCTTCACCTGAGGACGGCTGCTTGCGTTGTGGCCGAAACGTCGTGAGAATTATTTATTATGTTTTATTTTTATTATTTTATTACTTCCCTTCTACGTGACTTTACCGAAAGAACCAAGCAACTGAACTTTAGTTGAGTTCATCACACAAGGGGAAAATGTTTAAACGAACCCAATACCGAGCACAACCACCGGTAGAGCAGGTGTGACGAGGCAGCGACCCGCTGCGCAGTGAAGCCGTGGATCTTACGAGGGGGAGAATCCGAGGGAGACGTCCTCCAGGTGCACCCCGTGCACGTAGCCTGTGAAGTCCATGCAGCTGTCGGCGCTGCGCCGCGCGCTCTCGCTCACCACCAGCCTGTCTCCCCGCAGCACCGAGGGGCGGCTCTCCGCCACGCCCGGCACCTGCGGCGGGGATCACGCCGAGCGTCAGCATCGTCGCTGCCCGGGACGCCGCCTCGCTCATGCGGTCCCCGGGGGCCCTCCGCCGTCAGGGCGAGGGCCTCCCCATGGCCATGCGGAGTTAAAAACTAAAATTATAAACTACTGAGCTATGTTAGCCAAACAAAGTGCCTCATCGTGTGGAAATTTACATCAGCCAAATACTCTAAACGCGTGACGTCAATTCTAAACGTAAAGGGAAAAACCGCAGGACCCGGAGAAAAATCCATGCGACCACGGGGAGAGAGACGCAAACTCCAAATATATAGCAGCAAGCGTCAGGGATGGGATGGAACCCACGGCCTCCTGTATACCAAGCGAGGGAGTTAACATCTCGCCACCAAGGCACGTGACCGTGTACCTCACCACGCCGGTGAAGACGTGAAGTGTGGACATGGGACCATTGAAGTACCATGCAACGATGGAATTGGCTGCACTAACCTCTGCTGCCCGCCATGTATCCCCGTAGCCATCAATAACCACATGTCGTGCATGGCGGTCACCGGTCCAAGCACTGAGCCAGGTTCGAGCCTGCCGAGCTTCAGATATATCTGACGAGGTCGGGTAAACTCTGGGCAATTTGGTCAGAGGAAATTTCATCTTGACTGAGATATTTACAAAAATCGTAACTCAGCTTTGTGGAAATAAATGCTGCAGTTGTCATGCAAAGAGTGCATTTAAGTGTAGTTGTTGTCTTGGTTACTACTTACTCTCAACTTGAGAAGTTTTCTGTTGTTGAGATCAGGCTCCATGATTTGGTCTTCCAAGTCATATACCCGGATATCGGACCTCATTTGCAATTCATCCAAGTGAAGCAGATGATGAAACTTCTTCTTGTAATTCAAAAATGTCAGCGGATCTTGAAGCCATGAACTAAAACCAAAACAAGATTCAATGCACTGCACAGTAAAACAATCAAACGCTCTAAAATGATCGGACTTCTAGTATCGTTATTTCCTAGCCATCTCTGCGTACTCAGAGACGACAATGACGAACATGTGATTGAAACGTTAATTTAAAAAATGGGAATATGAAAACAGCAAAAAAAGGCAATAGGTGGAACCATATATCGCATCATACAATATGAAGTATGAAACCAGTTGAAAACATGTTTAAACAGATCTCATGGGCAAAACAGTGGACACACGTCAGAGAATGAGACGAGACTCCAGAGGAGGAGATGACAGATCTCATTTGGAGGCAGGAGGGGCGCAGTTAAGCTGGGGCCTCAATATTTGTATCCTTTTGCATAATTAAAAATACCCAACAAATTAAGGAAATCACTGAAATTAGCCACTTGGTTCAAGTAAAAATAATGCAAATCGTTACACCGCAGCTCTAAAAATGTATTTAAAAATGTAAATGTTCAGTTGTTCATCTTTTTTTTTTATCTATTGTCTAGGTGGGAAAGTGCAACTTCATTAAAAAAAAAAAAAAAAAAAAATCACTCGCGAGTGGTGGTGGTGGTGGTGGTGGTGGCTTGCGAGCGGCGTATTGTGGGAGTCGGATACCAGGTGTTTGGTGAGTGAGTAGCAGTGGTGTCACGCGAGTGGTGAGTATTTGGTGGCAGTGTGAGGTGGCGAGTCGTATCCAGGTGCCTGGCGAGTATTGAGAGTGGCCTACAGAGGAGCAGTGGTGCTCATGGGGAAGACACCAGTGAGGGGAGACCTGGTGAGACAAGGGGCCTGAGCTGATGGGGAAGGTAGCCCTGTCTGTAGGATGGACTGCCCTCCAGTTTACAATAAAAAGCATTTTTATTTTCAGTGAGACACCATCTGAACTTGTTCCGTGCCATTTCCATAATTTGCTTTTGTCTTTTGCCCCACACCTAGGTGGTGAATTTCACTCAAAGTGAGTGAAAGACATTAATTAAAAACAAAGAAATGCTTTCAAGTCGGGGTAAAGGGAAATTCGCTCAAAATGAAAGACACGTTCAGCAAGTTCGTCCAGCAAATGGAGTCACAAGCCGCAAGTTCACCCAGCAAATGGAGTCACCAGCAGCAAGTTCACCCAGCAAATGGAGTCACAAGCTGCAAGTTCACTCAGCAAATGGAGTCACCAGCAGCAAGTTCACTCAGCAAATGGAGTCACAAGCTGCAAGTTCACCAGCAAATGGAGTCACCAGCAGCAAGTTCACTCAGCAAATGGAGTCACAAGCTGCAAGTTCACTCAGAAAATGGAGTCACAAGCTGCAAGTTCACCCAGCAAATGGAGTCACCAGCAGCAAGTTCACCAGCAAATGGAGTCACCAGCAGCAAGTTCACTCAGCAAATGGAGTCACCAGCAGCAAGTTCACTCAGCAAATGGAGTCACAAGCTGCAAGTTCACTCAGAAAATGGAGTCACAAGCTGCAAGTTCACTCAGAAAATGGAGTCACCAGCAGCAAGTTCACCAGCAAATGGAGTCACAAGCTGCAAGTTCACTCAGAAAATGGAGTCACAAGCTGCAAGCTCACTCAGAAAATGGAGTCACCAGCAGCAAGTTCACCAGCAAATGGAGTCACAAGCTGCAAGTTCACTCAGAAAATAGAGTCACCGGCAGCAAGTTCACCAGCAAATGGTGTCACAAGCTGCAAGTTCACTCAGAAAATGGAGTCACCAGCAGCAAGTTCACCCAGCAAATGGTGTCACAAGCTGCAAGTTCACTCAGCAAATGGAGTCACCAGCAGCAAGTTCACTCAGCAAATGGAGTCACCAGCAGCAAGTTCACCCAGAAAATGGAGGTCACCAGCAGCAAGTTCACCAGCAAATGGAGTCACAAGCTGCAAGTTCACTCAGAAAATGGAGTCACAAGCTGCAAGTTCACTCAGAAAATGGAGTCACCAGCAGCAAGTTCACTCAGCAAATGGAGTCACCAGCAGCAAGTTCACCCAGCAAATGGAGTCACCAGCAGCAAGTTCACCAGCAAATGGAGTCACAAGCTGCAAGTTCACTCAGAAAATGGAGTCACCAGCAGCAAGTTCACCAGCAAATGGAGTCACAAGCTGCAAGTTCACTCAGAAAATGGAGTCACAAGCTGCAAGTTCACCAGCAAATGGAGTCACCAGCAGCAAGTTCACCCAGCAAATGGAGTCACCAGCAGCAAGTTCACCCAGAAAATGGAGGTCACCAGCAGCAAGTTCACCAGCAAATGGAGTCACAAGCTGCAAGTTCACTCAGAAAATGGAGTCACAAGCTGCAAGTTCACTCAGAAAATGGAGTCACCAGCAGCAAGTTCACTCAGCAAATGGAGTCACCAGCAGCAAGTTCACCAGCAAATGGAGTCACAAGCTGCAAGTTCACTCAGAAAATGGAGTCACCAGCAGCAAGTTCACCAGCAAATGGAGTCACAAGCTGCAAGTTCACTCAGAAAATGGAGTAACAAGCTGCAAGTTCACCAGCAAATGGAGTCACCAGCAGCAAGTTCACTCAGCAAATGGAGTCACCAGCAGCAAGTTCACCCAGCAAATGGAGTCACCAGCAGCAAGTTCACCAGCAAATGGAGTCACAAGCTGCAAGTTCACTCAGAAAATGGAGTCACAAGCTGCAAGTTCACTCAGAAAATGGAGTCACCAGCAGCAAGTTCACCAGCAAATGGAGTCACAAGCTGCAAGTTCACTCAGAAAATGGAGTCACAAGCTGCAAGTTCACTCAGAAAATGGAGTCACAAGCTGCAAGTTCACTCAGAAAATGGAGTCACCAGCAGCAAGTTCACCAGCAAATGGAGTCACAAGCTGCAAGTTCACTCAGAAAATGGAGTCACAAGCTGCAAGCTCACTCAGAAAATGGAGTCACCAGCAGCAAGTTCACCAGCAAATGGAGTCACAAGCTGCAAGTTCACTCAGAAAATGGAGTCACCGGCAGCAAGTTCACCAGCAAATGGTGTCACAAGCTGCAAGTTCACTCAGAAAATGGAGTCACCAGCAGCAAGTTCACCCAGCAAATGGTGTCACAAGCTGCAAGTTCACTCAGCAAATGGAGTCACCAGCAGCAAGTTCACTCAGCAAATGGAGTCACCAGCAGCAAGTTCACCCAGAAAATGGAGGTCACCAGCAGCAAGTTCACCAGCAAATGGAGTCACAAGCTGCAAGTTCACTCAGAAAATGGAGTCACAAGCTGCAAGTTCACTCAGAAAATGGAGTCACAAGCAGCAAGTTCACTCAGCAAATGGAGTCACCAGCAGCAAGTTCACCCAGCAAATGGAGTCACCAGCAGCAAGTTCACCAGCAAATGGAGTCACAAGCTGCAAGTTCACTCAGAAAATGGAGTCACCAGCAGCAAGTTCACCAGCAAATGGAGTCACAAGCTGCAAGTTCACCCAGCAAATGGAGTCACCAGCAGCAAGTTCACCCAGAAAATGGAGGTCACCAGCAGCAAGTTCACCAGCAAATGGAGTCACAAGCTGCAAGTTCACTCAGAAAATGGAGTCACAAGCTGCAAGTTCACTCAGAAAATGGAGTCACCAGCAGCAAGTTCACTCAGCAAATGGAGTCACCAGCAGCAAGTTCACCAGCAAATGGAGTCACAAGCTGCAAGTTCACTCAGAAAATGGAGTCACCAGCAGCAAGTTCACCAGCAAATGGAGTCACAAGCTGCAAGTTCACTCAGAAAATGGAGTAACAAGCTGCAAGTTCACCAGCAAATGGAGTCACCAGCAGCAAGTTCACTCAGCAAATGGAGTCACCAGCAGCAAGTTCACCCAGCAAATGGAGTCACCAGCAGCAAGTTCACCAGCAAATGGAGTCACAAGCTGCAAGTTCACTCAGAAAATGGAGTAACAAGCTGCAAGTTCACCAGCAAATGGAGTCACCAGCAGCAAGTTCACTCAGCAAATGGAGTCACCAGCAGCAAGTTCACCCAGCAAATGGAGTCACCAGCAGCAAGTTCACCAGCAAATGGAGTCACAAGCTGCAAGTTCACTCAGAAAATGGAGTCACCAGCAGCAAGTTCACCAGCAAATGGAGTCACAAGCTGCAAGTTCACTCAGAAAATTGAGTCACCAGCAGCAAGTTCACTCAGAAAATGGAGTCACCAGCAGCAAGTTCACCAGCAAATGGAGTCACCAGCAGCAAGTTCACTCAGCAAATGGAGTCACAAGCTGCAAGTTCACTCAGAAAATGGAGTCACCAGCAGCAAGTTCACCAGCAAATGGAGTCACCAGCAGCAAGTTCACTCAGAAAATGGAGTCACGAGCAGCAAGTTCACTCAGAAAATGGAGTCACCAGCAGCAAGTTCACCAGCAAATGGAGTCACAAGCTGCAAGTTCACTCAGAAAATGGAGTCACCAGCAGCAAGTTCACCAGCAAATGGAGTCACAAGCAGCAAGTTCACTCAGAAAATGGAGTCACAAGCAGCAAGTTCACTCAGAAAATGGAGTCACAAGCAGCAAGTTCACTCAGCAAATGGAGTCACCAGCAGCAAGTTCACCAGCAAATGGAGTCACAAGCAGCAAGTTCACTCAGCAAATGGAGTCACCAGCAGCAAGTTCACCAGCAAATGGAGTCACAAGCTGCAAGTTCACTCAGAAAATGGAGTCACAAGCAGCAAGTTCACTCAGAAAATGGAGTCACCAGCAGCAAGTTCACCAGCAAATGGAGTCACAAGCTGCAAGTTCACTCAGAAAATGGAGTCACCAGCAGCAAGTTCACCAGCAAATGGAGTCACAAGCTGCAAGTTCACTCAGAAAATGGAGTCACCAGCAGCAAGTTCACCAGCAAATGGAGTCACAAGCAGCAAGTTCACTCAGCAAATGGAGTCACCAGCAGCAAGTTCACTCAGAAAATGGAGTCACCAGCAGCAAGTTCACTCAGAAAATGGAGTCACCAGCTGCAAGTTCACTCAGAAAATGGAGTCACCAGCAGCAAGTTCACTCAGCAAATGGAGTCACCAGCAGCAAGTTCACTCAGAAAATGGAGTCACCAGCAGCAAGTTCACTCAGCAAATGGAGTCACAAGCTGCAAGTTCACCAGCAAATGGAGTCACAAGCTGCAAGTTCACTCAGAAAATGGAGTCACCAGCAGCAAGTTCACTCAGAAAATGGAGTCACCAGCAGCAAGTTCACCAGCAAATGGAGTCACAAGCTGCAAGTTCACTCAGAAAATGGTGTCACAAGCAGCAAGTTCACCAGCAAATGGAGTCACCAGCAGCAAGTTCACTCAGCAAATGGAGTCACAAGCTGCAAGTTCACTCAGAAAATGGAGTCACCAGCAGCAAGTTCACCAGCAAATGGAGTCACCAGCAGCAAGTTCACCCAGCAAATGGAGTCACAAGCTGCAAGTTCACCCAGAAAATGGAGTCACCAGCAGCAAGTTCACCAGCAAATGGAGTCACCAGCAGCAAGTTCACCCAGAAAATGGAGTCACCAGCAGCAAGTTCACTCAGAAAATGGAGTCACCAGCAGCAAGTTCACCAGCAAATGGAGTCACAAGCTGCAAGTTCACTCAGAAAATGGAGTCACCAGCAGCAAGTTCACCAGCAAATGGAGTCACCAGCAGCAAGTTCACTCAGCAAATGGAGTCACAAGCTGCAAGTTCACTCAGAAAATGGAGTCACCAGCAGCAAGTTCACCAGCAAATGGTGTCACAAGCTGCAAGTTCACTCAGAAAATGGAGTCACCAGCAGCAAGTTCACCAGCAAATGGAGTCACAAGCTGCAAGTTCACTCAGAAAATGGAGTCACCAGCAGCAAGTTCACCAGCAAATGGTGTCACAAGCTGCAAGTTCACTCAGAAAATGGAGTCACCAGCAGCAAGTTCACCAGCAAATGGTGTCACAAGCTGCAAGTTCACTCAGCAAATTGTGTCACGAGCAGCAAGTTCACAATTCGTTGCTGGAATAGCCGATGGCCAATGGCTGACTGGTGATGAAATGGCAGCTGAAGGAGAGAGCACGAAGGAGGTGGTGCAATGAGAGCGGCTCACGCACAGCGGTGAGAGGGACGGTGGCGTAAGGGGACCCCCGTCAGGGATGGTAATGGCAAGCCTTCACCCAGCAGTGGATAGAACATGGCTGATGATGGTTATGAAGTGCTGTCCCTTCGCCCATGTGGGTTTGTACCCACATTCTCCGGGTTTTCTCTCACACGTGTAAACTCATTATTTGGCCAATAACACCTTCATATATAAAGGATCACAGAGCTTGGGGGGAATTTTGCACTGGCTCAACCCCCTGGTTGCTCCCTTTCCCGCTTGTCTTTGGTTCCTCGTGCCTCCGAGTCGTTCTCTCTACTCTAGAGTGAGCGACGACTGTGAGGCGCGCTTCAAGTTATGATTAAGAAGAAAATTTATCTACCAATGTTTTTTATTGCAACTTACTTGACCTCTTGAGACATTGGTGAGACCTCATCTTTGTTGATAGGATAACTTTCCAGCTTCAGAACCAGCTTCAGGTCAGATTGGTCATCTCTAAAAACATTAAAAACATGAGCTTCAGCAGCAAGATTCTGCTTGGCAACTTTGGCTTGTATGGCTTATTGATTTAATTCACAGCCATAGTTTATATCTAACAAAAAAGTGTAATTCCCACATTTTTGTTACATTTATGCAAAATGTTTTTGCATGCCCATATTTTTGCTATTTTTATGCTAAATGTTTTTGAAATTAAAACTAACAAAAATGTGGGAATGCCACTTTTTGTTCGTTTTATGCAATTTTCAGTTACACAAAAAGTGGTGTTGCCACATTTTTGTTACGTCAAATTTTTAATTTGCAAATAACTGCTGCAATAAACATCTTATCCACACGAGGCCACTCCTATAAATGGCCTACAGAGATAATTACTGGCATTTAAATCAAACCTTGGTTTCAACTTCTCCGAGTCTCATCATCAGTGTATAGCCCATTACTGAAAAAGTCCTAAAAGGCTGATTGATTGACAGAATTTTTATTTATTTTAAAATTGATCAATCAAGCAAACCCTTACCTGTCTTTTACATCAGCACGGTCGCTTCATCAGGACGATCGCTTTGTGTTATGATCGAAACCTCGTATTTTTTTCTTTTATTTACTTTTATTTTTTCTATCTACGTGACCGAAAGATCCAAAAGGATATGAATTCTTGCAGTCACGAAAGTTTTAAGTCAAAATCTATTATTCCATTCTTTGTCTTGTTTGTTGTTGTAACTTTGTGACCCGCCCGACTGGAGATCAGTGAAAAAGAGCTTTAAAGCTCATCGGATTCCTCCTGCAGTCTAAATAAAGATTCCGATTCTGAAATTGCCACTTACACTATGCAAGTGCGTTCTAATCTGTATTTCACAAATGTCATGGGTTTCTGTGGCGAGTGCCCTTTCAGCTATAACCACCGTAGTTTGGAATAGGAGCCCAGTGTCTGAGACCTGAGCTGCTGCTTTGCACACGTACTTCAAGGTATGTCAAGCACATGCAAGAACACGTAACTACCGTCAGCATCATGTTTAATTGCATTTTGTGCTTCCCCACTGCGGTGGCATCCGAAAATCCATCAATGAGCCTTCGGCATGAACACTGAACCCGAATAACCACAAAGGTGCATTGGTGTGGCTCTCCGAGTCTTGAGCCGGGCGGTGGTAGCAACGCACGCCTCTAGTCCAGCACTGTGGAGGCAGCGAGGGTTGGTGGATCGCACAGATGTTGTGAAACTCCCTTCCCATGGGCATCGAGGTGCCACACGCTGGCTCTGCCAGGAGAAGGTGGTGCAGGGTGGTGTGGACTCCACCTGTTCCATCTCCATGGAATAGTTGTTGCCCCCTCACATGCGTGGATTGTCTCCGGGTGTTCCGGTTTCCGGCCACAAGTGAACACTCATTAATTGGCCAACAACCCCGCCATGTATACATATACATAAAGTACTGCAGAGCTTTGGGTGAAATTTGGCACGGGCTCACCACCCGACCGCCTTTCCCACCCCTTTGTGGTCCCTCCTCGCCCATCCCGAGTCGTCGTTCTCTCTCTTTGAGAGCGAGCGAATACCGGCGCTGTGCATTACAAGCTGACATTATCGTGAATGTTATCAATGTCTGGTCTCGCGTGCATTGTGGCATCATAAAATCCTTTGCGCCATTCGGGTTGTCGGCGAGAAACAAAACTCTGTGACGCCGGTGTACAATGTCCACTGTGCAAGGAAGTTGTGTCGTGTGGGCTCACATGTCCGGCTTCACCCCATCCACGGTGCAGCGGTTGCGGTAGATGGGAGGTCTCTGTTTGATTGGCTCGTACGGCTTCGTGGGCTGCAGCGCGTCGCTCAGCTCCGAACGTGTCTCCATGGTGATGGAGCGCGCCACGTGGAACGGCACCTCCTCGCCCTCAAACAGAAACTCGAAGACCAGCAGCAGAATGTGGTGGCCGCGAGTTTTTGTGCAAAAGGTCACGTGCATGCAGAACGGCTTCCCACCTGCATGTGGACCACACAACGCCAGCAAACAAAATCATTTGTGCGCCGGGTATCCGCTCCCGTGCTGTTCATGGCTGTCATCTCAATTGAGTATTTATGGTGAATTTCCTAATCTGGAAAATGTGGATCTTGTCGGCGGTACACAACGGCCCAGTCTCTCGGAATTAAGTGACGGGATCTTTAACGTCCGCCGAGAGTCGGGCGGCACGCAGTTGACAATTAACACATCTTTAATATTACCCATAATACAATTTTAATACCGTATTCAACAATGTGTGAACAAATAACTGAGTGGCGGTTAAGCTCTGTCTTGGTGATGGACTGTATTTCAAAAGCAGGGTCAGCTGTTGTTGATGAAGCCCCGACGTGACAACGAGGTTCAAGTGATGGTGCTGAAACACGAACAGCAACGAGCAAGAAAATAAAATAAACAAAAAACTACGACGTTTCGATCACAACACAAGCGATTGACATCCTGATGACGATCGCTTGTGTTGTGATCGAAACGTCGTAGTTTTTAGTTTATTTTATTTTTATTAATTTTAACCTATCTACGTGACTTTACCGAAAGACCCAAAGAATATGAATTACTGCAGTCATGAAAGCTTTAAGTCAACAATCATTCTGCAGAGCAGCAACGTGCAGTCGCAACTGAGGGCTCACTTCAGGTTTTAACCAAATCTCGAAATGTCTACAGGAGGTATGGATTGAATTAAGATGCCTCTATTCGTAAAATAATAAAATGCGAATAAATGCAAGGTGAGCTGGTTACGATAACTTTTAACAAATCGAACAACTGACTAAAGTTAAGAGCCTGGGTGGAAATGAATGTGAGCAAAGTGGCCACTGCTGCAGAGCAATCTGTGGGAAGGCAGTTGACGGTCAGTCAATTAAAGATGCCCAGTGAAGACCCCCAATTGCTTTTTTGTGTTTAGTTTGTTGCCCTTCCCCCTGCACCTCTGATTAGCGCGATTGGCTACGTACGGCACAAAATCAGTTCAACAGACGTACATACACAACTGTACATTGCCATTGCCTCCATTGCTCCTACTTGAATCTTTACTCGCAGTGTAACGTAGTGCGCTTCCCGCACGGCGACCGTGGATAGCCTTGTCCACACAATATGCCAGGAAAGCAACGCCACTCTTGGGTAATCCCCATGTCACGAGGGGTGCAAAGCCAAGGCCACCGTGAGAGATCTCTGAGCTGACCCAAAACCACTATTCTGAAGACAATATATGTTTTATTTTACCAGGTCAGGCCCATTGAGCTGTATAGCTGTCAGAAGTGACCTGGCCACAAATGATAGCTCAATGAAGTGACTTGTCACGTGGAAATTTATAGTAGCAGCCAAATACTCTGAAAGCATATTGATTCTAATGTGGAGGGAAAAACTAGAGGGCCTGGAGAAGAATCCAAGCGAACACATGGAGAACATGCAACCTCCAAATACACAGCAGGCGTCAGGGTCGGGATTGAATCCACGACCTCCTGTATACCAGGCAAGGTCGTGAACATCTTGCCACTGTGGCGGCCTTTTTGTGTGGCATGTGCATGGGTGCACGACAGTGCCAGAAAAACTCAGACAGACACAGAGAGTATCAGTCTCAGATAGTCTCAGAGAGCCTCAGATAGTGTCAAGTCAATTAATGATTAAAAGGCTGGGTGATAGATTCGGTCCGAGGATCCTAACCTGTGGTCCATTGACCATCGGTCGTCCCGCAAGGCTGTGGGAAGTGGCCCGCAAAACTGTCCATTACACAACTACTGCCCATTCTCCAACTATTTAAAGTTCATCCATGACTCGTCACACAGCTGGCTATTGGCTATTGAATGCATTTGCAAATTGCCGGCATAGGGCAGAGTCGTGTTAATTTAGAAAAAAGTTATTGGTGAAAATTTTTCTCAGGGTTGGCAGTGGCCGGCAAGTCCACTCAGGTTAGGTGCTACTGGATTAGGTGATACACAAAGACCATTAGAACTGACTGCGAGAACACAAACCGAGTTGAAAGTGTAAGTTTCAAAGGCAACAGGACAAAGGTGAGGTTTTGCCTTGCTAGGTTATCAGTGCCGAGGGGAGAAATGGGAACCAATATTTAGTCGAAAGGCATTCGCTGCAATAAGTGAGAACAATCACTGGAAGTGCAGTGCTATTATTCAACTGCAGATCACAGCTGTGACAAGAACTTATAATATTCCAGTTAGCTTGGCACACACTGTTTTCTACGACCCACAAGCACAAACCACGTGGAAAAGGACATCCAGGAACAATGTTTACAAAGAAACAGTTTAGGCAAATCGATAAATACCTGCAGGGAGGAAGAGGGGATTGTTGGGCTGAAAGTCGATGTCGCTCGTTAGTGAGAAGCCGACCATCTTGCGCAATCTATCACAGCGTCTCAGCTGCACACAAGTGGTACCCTGGTTCCTGATTGTGATCGTGACGCGCTTCTTCTCAGTCACGAGCAACTGCTGCTTCACATCACCACTCACAAATGGCGGCTCAGCAGTAATTGAGATCCCATGTTTATCCTCAAGCATCCACGCTCTGAAAAAAAAAACACAATTTCCACGAGAGGTTTGTACGCGGCAAAAACAATGCAGGCCAAAGCTCCGGTGTTTGCATGCTGAAGCATGCGAAGCAGCGCAACAGCCAATTCTCATTGGCAATCCTCATGCACTCATTAAACACTGATTAATTGGCTTGAAAAACATCTTAATATATAGATCTATAGAGGGCTGCGGAGGTTGGGCCAGCCGACCACTGACTCTTCAGAAGTGGTGCCATATCTACCGATCCCAGAGGGTTGAGGGGTATTGGGGTGGCATCGTGTCGCAGTGGTAACGCTCAGAATCAGAATATTTATTTATACTAGAGCAATCTGATGAGCTATAAAGCTCTTTTGCACAGATGTCCAGTAGGAGCGGGGATGAACGTTACAACAACAAACGGTACAAAAATATGCTAGTAGTGCAAAGTATAAGAAAGATAAACAACAACCCAAACACACACACAAATAAAAAATAAACCATCCCCATCCTACCAGGCAAAGCCCACTGAGGTATTAACTTATTTTTCAGACGTGACCTGGCCACAAATGACAGCTCAACGCAAGAAGGGCCTGGAGGGTTCTATTTACGACTTGAATGCCTTTCAACGTAGGTTTCCGAGTTATCTCGTTTTCTCACCAATGCTCTCAAATTTCCCACAAATCATCCAGTTGGGATTACAAACAGCAGCAACATTGCCCCTCCTGCTCATAAACTGGCAGGATCCTACTGAACATGAGTTTTGAGACTCAGTGAGGCTTTTCTGGGTAAACAAGTGAAACGATCATGATAAATAAATCCCTACAAAGAGCCCGAGGCAGTTACATACAAGACTTTGCCTTTTAATTGAAGTAATTTCCCTTTAAAGCCTAATTCCCAAATGAACAATTAAGTCCAGAGTTCTTGTCATCATCGAAGGTCCGACTTGTGCATGTGCCGGTCATGTTGTAAATAACACTGTGGGGAAGCTTGACCGTGAACCTCAAATACCATTAAAATAAAACTACTTCCTGTTTCATGTTTGGGTGAATGTAGGGTAACATAAAAAAATTTCCAGGACGTAACCCCAAACCCCACGATGGGCAAGGGTTTGGTGTACAGTACTCATCTCTACAGTTACCAAGAAACCTCATCTAATTTAAAACCGGGTAAGCACTCGAATGAGACATACACACATGCCATCCTCAGAACGATGGACATAACTACAGTATTGAACACAATACAGTACTCTTTATTTTATGGTCTGTTCAAAGACCACCCCCGTATAGCCTTTAAACAGACTGTCAGAGCAAATCCTGTTAGCGAGCACCTATGAAGGCCGACACGGCACACGAGGCGGTGGGTGGCCAGTACCACGCCGCACACACATATACCACATGTGTGTTGTCATTTTAGAAGAGATTTTAACTGAAATCAGAGCGAGTAGGATTAGAGCTCCCCCCCCCCATTAGCCTGGATAGCTGAGGTTTTACTGCCCCTTGTGGTGCCTTCCACAGTGTAGCCTCAAATAACGACTACGGGAAGCACAGTTTTACAAATGTCGAATCTTGGCTCCGCTGACTGCCTGTACGCTTCCGAATTAAGGACCCATCTCCGAAAAACAAAGAGCTTTTAAAAGCGTACTCGGGATTTATTCGATATTTAACAGCATTTCGTCTGACTGGAGGCTCTTCTTGACCAGTAATTTAGTCACCCCCAGGGTGCTTACTTGTGTGTCCGGAGCAGCTGTATCAGAGTGGCTCTGCGAGCACTCCTGGTGGCATCCAGAGGGATGATTTCAGAGGGAGCCACCAGATTCTCCACACCTCCGCTGTGGCCTCCTCCACGCGCAAAAGAGGCAGTGGATGGTCGTCGATCCGGCCTTGCTGCACTTATCTATTTTCCCATGAGACAAACAATGGCACACAGAACGTATGTTTTTTCGTAGCCAATACAATCACCCACGTGTGTTCTTGGGTTAGGCCACGTGGTCGTTTTATATCGTAATTCTCGTCATAAACCTTCCACCTCCCGAGAGAATTGTCACACTCACAGTGATGTTATTAAGACAGCCGATGTACTCATCAAATTCTGAATTTAACATCAGCTTACGATGATCTTTCACTCAAACTGCTTCAAGCACATGGACTCACAAAAGCAACTTTTCCAGATTTCTCGTGTTAAAAAAGTTTAAATAGCACGCAAGTCACACAATTCGATGTAAAAAGCACCACTCTTCCTTAAGGTCGGTTTTTTATTAAAGTGTAAAGAAGCTCTTTAAAATGGGAAATCGCTTTCAATTCTAAAATGTCCTCGAATCCTTTGTTAGATTTCCAAGAAGTTGTACCGAATACAGGTCAAGCTCCCTGCGGTTTGAACTGGGCCAAGGTGTTGATTGGTTCATGCTTTGTGATGCAAACGGCTCCAATTCCTTCACTGTGCCTCTTCAACTGCTAATATCCTTATGTTTGTTACTTTGCCGGAAAATACATTTAAATGAGCAACTCACGGTAGCAATATACTTCCATTCTACAGTCTCCCAGATGCAAAACTAAAAATTATTTAAGAACTGGCTCACACAATGCACGTAATTTAAATAGTCGTACAGTATACATTAGGCAGTCACTAAAATATTCCATAAAATTTCAGTCAAGAGTGACTTTCTTGGTCTACTTATGTTGGCTTCAAACATCTTGAAGTAAATATGAAACTAAATTGCAGGACCCTTCTGAAAAAGAGTAATTGGAGTGTTTTTATCTGAATAAATAAATCACTCTTATCACCAGCAACAACCACAGACCATATTATAAAAACAATGTGTTTTGTAAACGTTTAAACATCACCTTGAAAGCAATGTTTCCATTCCTAACTCTAACGTTTTCACATTGCTTGAGGTAATAAATCATTGAAGAAAAGTTCGGCCTCCTTTGTTCATCACTGAAATAGAAACAGATAATCAGACAAACGATTAATATCTTACATTCAGACAATATTTTAATATCTTACATTATGAATGCGTCGTTCATAAATGGCGTGATTGAGTCAGCCCATCATCCTTCTAGGGTGGATAAAAAACAACCCCCTGGGGTCCCCACGGGGGAGGAGCAGAGTCAGGGGGTCCTGGCAGTACCCCCCCCACCCCCCCATGAAGATCAGAATCTGACTGAAACTGGAGGACACCAGCGAGCTGTGGGGGGGGGAGGGGCAGGGAGGATGTTGGGGGGCAGCACGAGTTGCTCCCCCGGCGGGATGCCGTGGTGGAGTCCATCGGCGGAGACCATCGGCGCCCAAGGGGTCTCCTCTTGTGCACGCGCCGTGCCCCGGCAGCACCCTGGGCGTGTGCTGCTTGGCCCGTGCGTGCCCTGGCAGCCGGTGTTCTCGAAAGCGAGGAACCACAAGCTCCTGAGACTGGAACTCTGTGGAGTGGCGTGGGGGTGCATATACCACCGGGGGGTGCATACCGCCGTGGGGGTGCATACCACCGTGGGGGTGTCTTGTGGGATTTTTTTTTAATCCCATTGTTGCCGTGATGCACTTGGCCATTCAGGACGAGGAATTCCCTCCTGACACTCGACCCGCCCGTACTGGACATCTGTGAAAAAGAGCTTCACAGCTCATTGGATTCCTCCCGTCTGAATAAAGATTCTGAAAATCTAGTTGTGGTACTTTTGGTGTTACTCAAAGAAAGGTGTTCTTCTGGCCAAGCTTGGTCTCCATTGCGTGAGCGCCGAAGGGAGCGTGCGAGTGGATCTGGCAGAGTAGAAGGGGAAGGCCGGCGCCTCGACCGCCTCGTTGTGCCAATGTGTGTAGGGATGTCAAAGGTGGCCTTCCTGCTTCACCAATGTGGAATCTCTGCCACTGCCTTGTGGCTGTAAAATGGAGACTAGCACGACTTGAATGCTGATATGAGCACGAAATTATGTTAACTTGAGTTCATATATACACGTGTGTAATATTAATCAATTATTTCAGAACCCTCATGTTGTGCACGCGGAAGGCATGACGGTGCGAGACTGCTGCTGTACACAGCTAGGCAGGGACACGTCCAGCTCCTCCTCGGCCTATCACAGATGCTTCTTCCCACTTCAATCACCACAGCAGAGTTTATTCCCCTGCCAGTCATCTGCCTAGGTGGAGCGGTGGCCCAGTGGTGTGCACACTGCACTACACAGCTCGCGGATTCAGTTCGATTCCCGCCGACGGTTAGCATCAGTGGCGATAAGATATCCAAGTCAGTGCTGGAATCACCCCCCCCCCCCCCGCCTCCGGATCAACCTGGGTAGGGTTGCTACGTGTCCAGACTTGGCCCAGGCAGTCCTGCGATTTGCATTTGTGTTTGGGTGCCAGGAAATTATTTTAACCGAGCTCTCGTGGCATTGAGTTGAAGTGTATTTGTGTACACTGCACAGTTTGCATCGACCTAGGCTGACCGAGATATAGATCTGGGTTTGGTCTGTGGAAACGGTGGTCACCCTAAACCCGGCAGTGGCCAGTGTGGGAAGAGGAAGTACGGACAGTCCCCATGATCGACAGTCTGGGGAGGTCTTCATCCAGCAGGGGATTGGCCGAGGGGTTGTACATCGTGTCAGTGATGTGCAATCCTGCCAGCTGGTGAAAGCCACTCTTTGACGGCAAGGTCAGGAGACATCATCACGGAAATCTTCGACTCCCCGCTCCTCTCTAGGCAATTTCTCCGTGGAAGCTGTCGATAATTACACCGCTCTTGTTTTAATATTTAAGTGAAAAATAGTTTATCACGTTTGCAAATTGTGCATGTTATCTTGGGCTTGCCGGTCACAGTCTCATCCTGTTCAGAAGCATAAATACAATACGAGCCTTTTGCCCATCCAAGGACGGGTGTATTGCAGTACACCTGAAACTTGCAAGCGAAAAGCAGAGCCACGTGATATTAATTGCATTAATGCGTGTGCAATTTGTAAGGGCGCGGTGACACAGACCTATTTCATTTTAACGTTATAATCCCTTGTTCATCATGACGTCCTTTTACTTTGATGTCTCAACAGCGTCACGGAAACCGCGTGACGTGAGGGTTCTGCCTTTGTAGTGAGGGTCGTAAGTTGACGCTGAGGGGGGAGGAGCCTCGCCCCCCATGTGGAGTGACGTCACCCGCTAATTATTATTAATGGTAGTGGTGTCCATTTGGAGGACGTCACCTTTTCATGATTATTAATGAGGGGAGCTGTTCGATGTGGAGTGACGTCACCTGCTCATGATTATTAATGAGGGGAGCTGTTCGATATGGAGTGACGTCACGAGCGTTGCACACAGACATTCTTGGCTCATTATAGTTGGTAATAATAAGGGGGGGGGGGGGCGTGTCCATTTGGAGGACGTCCCCTGCTCATGATTATTAATGAGGGGAGCTGGTCGATGTGGAGTGACGTCCCCTGCTCATGATTATTAGTGAGGGGGGGTGCCCGTTTGCAGGACGTCACCTGCTCATGAATATTAATGAGGGGGGCTGGTCTATGTGGAGTGACGTCACGAGCGTTAAGGAGAGACATTCCTGGGTGGTTATAGCAGGTATTAGAAAAGTATTTTACCTCTGTCGTATCAGAAAAGTGGCGACAGAAAACAATGAAAAACATCGCCAGGCAAGATTGGTCAGCAGCCGCACCTTGAGGAATTGACTGGCTGTACCTTGCTACGAACAAACATTTAGTCGTGCTGAAAATAGACAAGCGGCACACGATGGAACGTCGTGTCGAGTGTCCTCATCATCTACCACACCCAGCAACCGCCCACTCCCTGCTCAACAAGCCCTCGATACGCAAGCAGTCAACAGAACATGTCCCGTGTCACTGGGGCAGACGAGTAACTCAGAAGCTGCTGCTGCTGCGACTGCGGCTGCTGTCACCCCACAGAAATCGCAACTCGCTCGCAAACCCCATCTCCATTGTCCACCACATTCAACAACACTTACTCTGCCCACTCAATTGAGACTCGGTAGGTTGAAAACAAAGTACTGTACTGTATTTGTGGAGGTTTGCCTTCATTGCCACTCAGTCACTTTTACAACGCCAAAGCCAAATAAAACTGGGGCCAACTTACTTTGGTCAACACCACGGCCAAAGGTTTCTCCAGCTGCGAGACATCACTCACGGGCAGGTTTAGAGCCAGCCACCTTGAAGATGTGGAGTGGGTCACGGCATCAAGCTGATCAAGCTGATGCCGTGGGCCTGATGAGGCTGCTTCTTCAGGCTCACGACACACATGTCTTGATATTGCCCCACAATTATCTGATGCCCCTTACTGACGTGCTGCATATCCCGTTTAGCTCCAAGGGACAATCATCTTAAGTCACTTGATGATGCATTACTTAAATCAATATTGAGAAATGACATGTGGGGAGCGGTAGTGTAGCGGTTATCGAAATGCGCTAACCGGGCTTCCCCGAGGTCGACTCAGCCTCAAATGAGTACCTGGTGCGGTGTGTAAACATCGCCACTGGGGAGACAAAGGCGGCCGGGCGTGGTGCTGGCCACCCACCCCCTCGTGTGCCGTGCCGGCCTTTATAGGTGCTACAGGAGGGACTTTGTGAAGAGATGAAGTTGCACAGTAGTTGGCATTATGACGCCGCCAGATGACATCACGTGCGAGACATCACGTGGGAAGGTGGAGGAGACCCTTTAGTGCTGCTTTAAGGGCCGCTAACTCCTTGGCAATCCTTTAATAAATGTAGCCGGTGTTCTAGTTCCCAATAGCAACAAAGTGTTATACTAAAACTTAGGTTTTGTTCATGTATGCATTGAAGCTTTAAACCCGAGTTGTAAACCATAAATTAATTGCTACTGCCCGAAACGTTGACGATAATTCTCCTCTAAAGACAGTGGATGTTGATGAGCGAGTGTGCTGAGCTTTCTATTTGTGCTCTACTGCCAACATTGCATCACCAAATACAGTAATGTGTAATGCTGTTCTAAGAGGGTCCATCAACGTGAAACAATGGGCATCTTAATGACGTGTCTGCCTTCTTAACATCCTGTCTGCACTGGGATCCATTCAATCAACAAATGGTAAGTTCCTCATTGTTTACCCCTTTTCCCTAATCCGGAACACAAATGCCTCTGGATCTGGATTATCACCAAAGATTTGGTTTTCACATTCATAAACTTGCCAACACACGAAAAACAAAACTGGGATTCGTGTTTGAATATAAATCTTGATTTTCCTTCAACATCTGGTATCCGCTCCCTTACTCTATCTTGCACATTATGCAGACGACACTTTTACAGAAACCCAAGTTTAATTCCACCTTAAGTTTCATCCTGGATGCTAATTACTCAAGCCATCCCTGTTACCTCTATTCCAAGTCTGGCCTTTGGCCTATCTCAGCCAGGATTGAAATGCATTGGGTGAAATGTCTTCAATGCTTCGTACAAATTAGCTAATGCCACTACTGTGTTGCTTATATCCAGATCCAAATTATCACAACTTCAGACATGCCACCCCCTTTCAATACATCTGCCCTATATTGTATATATATACTGTATATAATTTTGCCATTGTCTGTGTGTGTATTGGTGCTCGCTAACAGCACTTGCCCCAACAGTCTATTCAGGCTATACGGGGGATCTTTGTCTTTGTATAGCTACTCTGGCAGCTACAGAATGCCCGAGTCCTGACTGGAAAGCATCGTGGGAACAAATCTCCCCAGCGCCGAGATGTGTCCGTGAGTTGCCAGTCGACTTGCGGATCAAGTTTAGAATCCTCCTACTAACATGTCACGCCTTGGGATGGGTATGGGTCCCGGCTTACCTCGGAACTTTCGGAGAGATATGTTCCTACCAGAAGTCTCAGATCTACACAAAGACTCATTGTAGCTCCTCGGTTGAGGTGTGTTACGTTAGGAGGGTGTTCATTCAATTGTCTGACTCCTAAGTTGTGGAATGACTTCCTCCATTGATATCAGAGAAACTGGTAGTTGGTAGTTTTAAAGGTTGCTGAAGACACATCTCCCAATTCCCTATGGGGTTAATAATCCAGGGTTGTTGATTCCGAGTCCTCGTTCATGAGTTCCTAGTCTGCGTTTGTGGATTCTCAGAGTCGGGTGTTATGGGTCCCGTGTGTCACGGTGCCACGTGCTGCTGGTGTGTTGATGTCGAGCACACAATGGACACCGCCTCATAAGGAAGCTGTTGCACTTTTTAAACTAGAGTACTGCATTTTTATTATCTCTGCTATAATTACATTTTATTGATGTAATGATGTTTCCTTGTGGAGCGCTTTGTGACAATATTATTGTGAAGGCCGCCACATTAAATAGAGATTGGTTGACTTTAAACACACCTTATAATAAAAAAAACTACTTTTTAAAGTTACGTGTACAACGTTGGTACTTTCTGTATCATACATTGCACTACACTATATTTCTCTTTTACATTATTCAACATGTTAAAGCGCATAACCGCCTACGTTGCCTTAGCCTTATTCAAACACATTTTAAATTGATTGTTCTAAACGTGTTACTTTTCAAATGTTTTAAAAATGTTCCGAGTGTACAGGGAGTTACTTAGAGCTCCTCTCCATGCAACCCGCGTCTACCCAGGTCCACACCCCGTCCCCCATGTGTCCCACCCCCCCCCCCCCCTTGTGTCCCCCCCCCCCCCCCTTGTGTCCCCCCCCCCCCCCCCTTGTTCCCACCCCCCCCCCCCCATTGGTGTCCCACCCCCCCCCCCCCCCATGTGTCCCACCCCCCCCCCCTCCCTTGTGTACCCCCCCCCCCCCCCCTTGTGTCCCACCCCCCCCCCCTTGTTGTCCCACCCCCCCCCCCTTGTGTCCCACCCCCCCCCCTTGTGTCCCACCCCCCCCCTTGTGTACCCCCCCCCCCGTGTGTCTACCCATTGTGCCCCCCCACCTTCTCTGTGTCCCCCCCCCCCGTGTGGTCTTACCAGTGTGCCCCCCCCCCCCCGCCTACCCCCCGTGTGTCTCGCCTGTTTCTGAAGCTCTGGTTGTAGACGTCTCTGAGCTCGGCTTTGCTAAAGACGCGCAGTTCCGGCTGGAAGCCGCTCTGCTGCAGGAACAACTCGAACTCCAGCCCCGTCTGGACGCACTCGTGCCGGCTCGGCGCGGGCATCGCGTTTCAGAGTTGCCTCGCGAGAGTTGAGTGAGAAAGTTGAATGAAAAAGTTGAGTGAGAGAGTTGAGTGAGAGAGTTGAGTGAGAGAGTTGAGTGAGAGAGTTGAGTGAGAGAGTTGAGTGAGAGAGTTGAGTGAGAGAGTTGAGTGAGAGAGTTGAGTGAGAGAGTTGAGTGAGAGAGTTGAGTGAGAGAGTTGAGTGAGAGAGTTGAGTGAGAGAGTTGAGTGGGAGAGTTGAGTGAGAGAGTTGAGTGAGAGAGTTGAGTGAGAGAGTTGAGTGGGAGAGTTGAGTGAGAGAGTTGAATGAGAGAGTTGAGTGAGAGAGTTGAGTGAGAGAGTTGAATGAGAAAGTTGAGAGCAACTCTGCGCGAGACGAGAGCTGCAGCGCGAGCTTCGCCCCACCGACAAATGAGAGGCGGACGAGACGCCGTGCGGCTCAGGTGAACAAGACACCCCCGCCCCCCCCCCCCTACTTATCCCCCTCTGCCCCACACGCCCACCCCTCCGCGCCCACCCCTCCGCGCCCGCCCCGTTGGTTTGATCCGCCGCGCTCGAACACGCGCGAGACCGCCCGGGCGAGACCAACCGAGCACCGCTCCGGGGGGTGACGGCGCAAGGGGCTTCCCGGTCGGTGGAGGCGGAATCCCGGAACCGCCGTCACCGAGCGCCGCTGCCGCGGCGGGGAGACCCTCGCGAGGTGCCACCGCGAGCCTCGGCCCCGCGAGTCCCCGCCCCGTGCGAGTCGCGAGGAGGAGGAGGAGGCGCTGCTGCTCCGGCGGGGGTCGACGCCACGCACCCTCAGCCCCCCGCGGGGGGCTCCGTGCGCCACGCGCATTGTGATGATGCCGCGTCTGGCGGCAGCAGTCACGGGGCGATTGCTACGACCGCCCGCAGCTCTCCCGCATTGTCCGAGATTATAATTCACTCTGCAACACGATTCTTGTTCCTGGGCACCGAGTGTTATCTTCTAATTGCTTTTGCTTCAATAGTAGAGAAAATGGCTATTGTTCCCCACAAACTTTGCTTTTGTGACCAGGACTTTATGTTAAGGAGAGACACAAATGGACGTTTTCTCATTGAAAATGTGTACATTTAAAAGAATCACTGTCCTGCTCACAAAAGCAAAGTTTGCGGGGACTAATATCCATTTTCTGTACTTTTGAGGCACAAGCAATTGGAAATTAACACTTACTACTCAGGAACAACAAAAAAAAAATATATATATACAGTCCATTGTCCCACAGTGATGCAATCCCCTCCGCAGAGTGAGACGCAACTCTCCTGCCCCCAACTTGTACAATTCTGTTCACTCACCGGATTATAAGACGCACCGCCCAGACCTGTAACTTCAAACTACAGGGTGCAGGGTGCGTCTTATCGTCCGGCAATGCCGCGTGATTTATCACGCCGCTGTGCGGTCCATCTGGGAAGCTAAGCAGGCGTTGAACCTGGATAAGAGCTTGGATTGGCTAGCATCATCCTCGGCAGAGAGAAACACAATTACTGTTGTACTCTACTTCTGGCTGCACCGCGTCTATGCTCCCCGCACATCCATGGTGAGGGATGGTCAAATAACCCACGACGTGTGGAGGAGACCTCATCCAGCAGTGGATAGCACACGTCACCATCCGCGGTGAGACGTTCAGAGTGTTTTTATTCGTGCGTTTGCACCACGACCTACCACGTAACTTGACGTAGCCCTACGCAGCACTCCGTGCTGTTTCTACATATCAACAATACCATGCTTGAGTCCATCAGGATTACCCAGCAGCATCTGTTTCAGGCAAAATCAACCTGTGTACGGTAAGGGAGGGGGGGGTCCCATCGTCAACGTGGAGTGCTCTTGCCAACCACATCTGTCAACGGGCTGGTGAATACCCAAGTTGAACCCATTCTAGAGTCCTCTCTGTTGCTGCCTGTTATAATGTTGGTCTAAAGAGCCGATGGGCTGCTGGAATAAACACGTAGATTAACACGTTTACACGGGGGAGTGTGTGAATAGAAGTAAACCCAAAGACAAACCGACGAGTCAGCGTTGTTCCTCGTCTGTAAACGACGTTTTGTGGCTTCCTTGGGTCTTGTGGGCCAAACGTCATTTCTGAAAAGTCAACTCTCCTTATCAGATAACAGGAACTTGCTCTTTATTGATGTTAATACATATTGTAGTTTATCCTCACCTAGTTCTAAGGGTCGCAGACTCAAGTGCATTGCGTACCACGCCTGGTGGAGTTGACTGCGTGCTGTGCATTCTCCGCATTATAAGACGCAATTTCCCCATGCGCCTTATTTGAAAGCAAAGTTATGTAGGGGACACCTCAAGTAATCAGATAGCTGTGTCTGTAACCAGATTTGTATCGCTCCATTGACACGCGCACAAGTTGGGGGTCGCCTTATCTTATAGGATCTTAGCAACGTCTTATCATGAGGACAATGGGGCACAGCGGTGGGAGCCCGGCAGCTGCCCCCCCACAGGGCACGCAGCACCACAATGGGGGGGGGGGGGGTGCACGCGTGCGTGGCGTCACCCCGCGGAGACCTCCTCGCCTGGACCCCTCGGGCCCCGTGATGACTCCGCACCGGGCGGGACTCGAACCGAGTGCCTGTGGTTTGCGGTTCCCGCAAAAGGAGCGAGCGGCTTCAGTGACGTCTCTTCCGAGAACTCCGCTCCGAACGAAAGTTACATTCCCCCCCCCCATCTCCCGCGCGGTTTCACCCGAGCGGCCTCACCTGTGTCCGTGCACTGCGGATCAAGCCACTCTAGGGAGGGCGAGGAGGAGGGGGGGGGTCCCGTACACCTGGGCGCTCTACGGCTCTTGCAGGTCTCATTTCGCGTAACTCGCGCGTGCGTCCAGGTCGGAGAGACGAGCTCAGAGACAACATCAGGCGAGACACGAGGGGACACACGGGGATACACTTACTCCATATCCTTAATTTAACAAGGACATTAATTAACCTCATTAATACACACACACAACGCAGCGCCTCAGTAAGTCTGAACACGTATGTACAAAGAACAATGTAGACCAGGCGAGGTAGTTAATATATCGCCACAGACGTCTCGCCACAGACCCAAGTGCCGTGGACTGAGATGACTGCCAAGATCTACCCACCTGTGATCTGCCAGTCATCTCCTGGGCGCCGCGGTGGCTAGGAGATGTTGACTCCTTCACCAAGTATGCAGGAGGCCGTGGGTTCGATCCCGACCCTAACGCCTGTATATTTGGAGGGTGAATGTTCTCCCCGTGATTGCGTGGAATTTTCTCTCGGTCCTCCGGCTTTTCCCTCCATACTTTAGAAACATGCGTTGAGAGTATTTGGCTGATATACATTTCTACATAAGCCACTTCGATGAGCTATCACTTGTGGCCAAGTCGCGTCTGAAAAATAGCTGCTACATGGCTCAGTGGGCTTTGCCGGAAAATAAAAAAAATAGTTTAGTTGTTGGTCTCAGTGTGGCGCCGTGATGCAAGACACAGCCTCACATTGACCAACAGAGGGCGCGCGTGAGTTCTGGTTCCACAAGTCTGCGGGAGTATTGTGTGCACCGCACGCGTATTTTGGCTGCCCAAGTGCCATATGACAATTATTCTGCAGCAAGGTGTGAATGGGCGCCATGTACGCCATGTGGTTAGAGGCCTTGATCAGAGGCGCCAGAAGTCCTCCCAGGGTATCTCCTGCGGCGTGCGTCTTGGACGCATGCGGTGCTCGTGTGCGCGTTGTTGTTGTTGTCACCCCTTGCGCCCGAGGTACAATTTGGTGCTGCATTCCACATCTGTCCCCGTATGCTGTCGTTCCCCACTTCCAGTGCGGCACAGATTCCTATTCAAACAGGGCCCACACTTGCGTTGTGGCACAGGTCTTGTCCACACCGTGCACCTGTATGCTGAACTTCTTTCGCGCCGTACGTAGCCAACAGTGATCCTCTCTCACCTCGCTCCCCAAATAATCCCCATCCCCTCTTAGTGGATGAAAAGGGACGGAACGCGAGTTTCTTAGTCCCGTTGTTGTATTTAACCTGTTAATACTTGTATCGACTGTTTTCATCACAGGTGTGCCCCATGTGAGCCCTGCTACGGCTCGTGTGTAAACCACCGCAGCGACGTCGCTGCGTGGCCATGTGCTGCGAACGTGTTGACGGGTGACTGCTGCGCACACCACGGACACTCTTGTGAACAGTAATCATCGTTATAATCGATGTTTACAAGTTGCAGCGTCAGTCATGCAAACATCATCTCACAACACTGCACAATCCGCGATACACTCCGAGGTGTGTGTGCAGATTAAGATGTATTCAGCCAATCGACGAGTGATGGCGCGTGTGAAAGAAACCCCACAACATTCTAGGTGGCAGCAATCTCCCCGATACCGATGGAGACAAGTCCGCATTTTGCCGGACTGAATGATGAGCCAGGCGATGGCACCACGCGTCTCGGCGAGGCAGAAACACTCCATCCCTGACCGACGGAACAAGTCCAGATGTTCACTCTACCGCCGTCTCCTGGCAAGCCCTGGGGTACGCACCTCGACTTCCACGGGAAGGGAATTGGTGCGATCCACCAACGCTCGCTGCCTCCACCATGCTGACTCACAGGCCACGTGCAGTGTAGCCACCACCGCCACGCAGTTGGTGTGCTACCGACTTTCACTCGAAGGCACCACACAAGGTCTATGTTCTGTTGATCTACTGAGATGAAATAGGAGTTGACAGCAGCCCATCACTTTTGCACACCCGAGATTGTGCAGTAAACATTCAATTTGACGAAACATTGTGTACAGGTACATAAGAGTGTTGCTTGGATCAGTTATACACTCATTTACCTCATTATCATTCAGTAGCCTTTTACAAAAAACATGCCACACCAACACAAGCAGTGCCATCCCAGTGTTGTGTGGAAGTAAACAAGTGTTTATTGTGCAGGTACACTTTCCAATGTAGTTTACAACTAGTTTATCCTAAATCTAAAGACACCAAAATATGAAACATCCTTTTATAAGCAAAATAATCCACAGATTGGCTAATATCTAATATACAGTATATATTACCTATCCGTACAGAGCTCTCTTAATTCACATTCAATGAAAACTATATTCTCAATCGACCTTCAAACTAACGTTCAATCAATTATATCTCACAACTTAATTTTGTACCTATAAAGACATTCAAAGATCAGACAACAATCAGAACAGACCTCCTGCATTTCAGCAATTAAATACATTTCAGAAGAAGCTGTAGCACGGCACAACACTTCCCGAAGTGTCGAGTAATTTTTGAGATCATAAACGGTACGGTTCAATTAGCGGCGCGCTCCTGCTTGTGAGCTACCCGTCGCGACACCACCTGGAAGGGAGTCAAATCTAAAATGTTCGGGCAGTCCTCGGGCTACGAACCTAATTCGTTCCCGAGACCCGTTCGTAAGTCGAACGGTTCGTACGTC